AAAATGAGATCACATTTGATGACACCTACATGGGTATGTCTTTCCATTCCCCTTATTAGCTGTCAAGTTGAAAATACTTCGATTTTTCTGTTTGTCACGACCCATATTTTTATACATTCAACAGGTTACTCAGTGGCTGTCGGCGAGTTCAGTGGTGATGATGATGAAGGTGAGTGTTGTGACCTTAAAATATAAAACCTCTACATTATAGTGCTCATTAGATTACAGTTTCCCTAGATTATTTTGATGTCATTTTTATTATATTCATTAAAGATGGAGATTGAACGACGGTGACTGTGTTGTACCACAGATTTAATATCATCATCTGCTGTTGGAATAGCCATAGCGCATCGAGCAAAATATTACTAATGCATGTTTATTCAAATCATAAGATACGACTATCTGTGAAAAAAGTGCATAATGTTTAAAATAATGTTTATAAACCATTTATAATTAAGTTGCTTAAAACATTTGACAGCCCTACTTGTATTTACATGTGATTCGGATCTGTTACAGTTTTTAATGTTCCTAAATTTTTCAGATGGGTTCCTACTATGGCTATGCAGTGGCTGCTACTGACATAAACAATGATGGGTAGGTAAACACAACCAGGTTCAGAGAAGAATCTAGCAATGTGTTCAGTGTTTAAGTTTGTGGTTCGTATCACCTCCAGGATGACGGACCTGCTGGTTGGCGCACCAATGTTCATGCTTCGTGACTCTGATGGGAGGTTGGAGGAGTTGGGTCGGGTCTATGTGTACATGCAGAACGGACCTCTGGATCTCACACCTCAGCTACCTCATCTCACCGGCACACAGACATTCGGCCGGTTTGGCAGCTCCATTACCCCTCTCGGAGACCTCAACCAAGATGGTTACAATGGTGAGAGATTTGCCCAGATTTTAGCATTTGTTTGTCAGTCAGTCTTTAGGCAACTGTATTGGTTATCAGTCGATATTGGATTTTTTCTGTTGGTTTTGGTTGTTATTAGATAGCTATATTTAATTTTTATTTAGTTTTTAATTTAATTTTTTCTTTTAGATTACCTTTACTGTTGTCTAACTGCAGAGCCATTTTAGTACCATTTAGATACTAATTAGTTTTTTATTAATATTTTGAATCAGTTTTTATTTTTAATCTTAGTTAATGTTTAAATAAATGTTTTTGTTGTCTTTGTAGTTTTTAGTTTTTTTTAATGTATGCCTATATTGTTTTTATTTATTTTTATTTCAGTTTTTAGTTTGTTATTTTAGTACATCAAGTTAAACTAAATTGAGAAATTTTGCCTTGGCAACTAGCTGAATAAAATTGTTTTATATTTCTTATTTTCAGTAAACATTTATTTTATTTCAAGTAACGCAAATGTTTTAATTGATTTTCAGTTTTTTAGTTTGACTTTGTCAACAATAATAACCCTCACCACTCGCTTGAATTAAATCTTTAAAAACGCGAATAATGTTATAACAGTTAAATGTAATCTTAAAATGAATATCCATCTTTATACTGTATATTATAATGTTGTGATGCCTAAATTCACTTGTAGCAATTTTTTTTTTGTTTCATTTGTAATTTTTTTAGACAGAATAATGTAGAATTTTACATCCTCCATTTTTCAGTTAATTTAAAAATGATTAATTAGAGTTTTTTTAGAGTTTTATTTTTTAAATATTTAGACTAAATAATATAGACCTTTTAATTTCTGCTGTTTATCAGTTATTACGTATAACATGAAAGTAATTACATTTTTTTGCACCTCTAATTCTACAATATTCTCTTAACAGACGTGGCCATCAGTTGTCCGTTTGGTGGGGAAAACAAACAAGGACTGGTGCTCATCTATAACGGACATGTTGGAGGACTCAGGGAAAAGCCCTCTCAGGTGATCGCTGGCCAATGGGCTTCTGCCACACCGTCAGCTCTACCTGCCAGTTTTGGTTATGCCCTTCGTGGAGGCAAAGACCTGGATAATAATGGCTACCCAGGTGAGAAAACCTAGTCTTTTTAGCTACCATAAACCACTGCCACTGCTGCTGAAATTAGTCTGATACCATGTTTTTTTCTTCTTGCAGATCTTATTGTTGGCGCATTTGGTGCAGACACTGCCGTTCTTTATAGGTCAGTCACAGACATGAAGACTAGAGTAATGGCTGCTGAAAATGAAGCTTTACTTTCACAAGAAGAAATTACCTGTTAAAATAAATACTTTAAATTATAATAATGTTTCACAATTTTACTATTTTTTTTACTGTATTTTTTTACTCTATTAAATATTCTTTGTGAGCAAAAGAGAATTCATTCAAAACATTTTTAAAAATCTTACAGACTTCAGTATATCCTATTTACATTTTAATCATAAAGCTATTTAAAATGCTTTTGAGTGCAGACTAAATAATTTAGGATATTATGTCATTTCCAGGTCTCGTCCTATTGTGAACACCAGTGCTACCTTGACTGTATATCCAACTATGATTAATCCTGAGGAGAAAGTTTGCACCATAAGCCGTGGGAATGAAACCCTGCAAGTGTCCTGGTATGTCTATATCTTGTATCAGCTAGAATTTGTTGCATTCCTGGTCCAAAGCAGTAAATAGATTTTATTAGTCTGTTTATCCAAATCCTAAACATTCAACATGCAATAATATGGAAAAAAATCTTTCACATTTAACATAATTTAAGTGGCATTGAAGTGCACTGTAGGAATAAAAAAAAAAAATCAAATTTAGTAAATAAAGCTTACTTCATTACATCCACAGTTGGGCTTTGTATGTCAGGCTGGACATATGGAAGGGTGTAGTTATGCTGTCAGCAAAGGCTTTTTCAAGTAGTTTGGACACGCTATGCTGGTTGAGGGTGAGCTAAGAAGGTGGCGAAAAGCATAAAATGCCCTTTTCCCAACTCCACGATGTGCATTTTTGAAATATGCGGCCTATATGTGGAGGGAAAGGAAACTCCGCTGGGCTGGTCTCTCTCTGACGTGAAATGTCAGTGTCTCCGCCTGTTCTGTTTTATACAGGGAAAGTTTGTATACGTATGTGTTGATTACAAGTCGTTGCCTAGACACAGAGGCTTTTGGGAGAAATTAGAGAGGGAGAAAGGGATCTAGCAGTGGCTTTGAATGAGATATTGTTTAGTGGTGGAACACAGCTGGGAAACATCAGGACGCAATGAGCTGCACATGCATGTGAGCTCACACACACACACAGATGTATACTGAGGCTTAGAAACACACATGGGAACACATTGCGTTTATTGCACAGGTCAAACGTAGCCTGGATTGTAATTTTTCTTCTTTTTTTTCTTCAGTTTTTCACTCTAACCCTTCTGTGTCTTGTTTCTTTTGTATGTGTTGTGTTTCTTTTGGATTCTTTTGTTACTTTTTCTTCTTTTTTTGGAAACTTTTTCAGTTCTTTCTAAAAATGTATTTTCATTCATTTAAACTGTCATTCAAACTTTTTTCAAATTTTCTTGATCTTTTTTTTTTTTTAGTTTCTTGCTTCCTTTCAGTTGAACCCTCATTTATTTTCCACAACATATTAAGCAGCACAACCATTTTCAACATTGATGATAAGAAGTGTTTCTTAAGTACCAAATCAGCATATTAAATGATTTCTGAAGGATCATGTGACACTGAAGACTGGCGTAATGGCTAATGAAAATTCAGCTTTGCCATCACAGAAATAAACTGCATTTCAAAATATATTAAAATGGTAGACAAAATGTTAATAATATTCCGTAATATTGCTGTTTTTAATAAATAAATTTTTTTATCAAATAAATGCACGCTTGATGAACACAATAGACATCTTTCAGAAATTATACATTACATCAGTTTCCAGCACAGACATGATCTTTAGCTGTCCTGTTTAAAAACATCTTCACATATGTTTGTGTGATCCATTATACTATAGTCATCCTTCCTTCAAGCTGTCAAGTGTTATAGCCTGAGGAAACAATAATAGCAAATATTTCATTGCCAAAGAGATGCAACCAATGTGTTTCTAATACGTAATAAATCCACTTCATCTCTCATCATTTGTCTGCTCTGCTTCTTACAGTGTCAACCTGAGCTTTTGCCTCTCAGCCAATGGGAAGCACCTACCAAATCATCTCGGTAAGCCACATCTGCTCCTGTTTACCCACCTGTTGATCCCCTTTGCAAATAGTATTCCTTTTTAAATAAGCAACCACCCAGAACACTAGTCACACCCTTACAATCACCTGTAACACCCGTGCATTGTGGCATTTATTCTTGGACTTAATTTTACTTAATTTCCCTCACAACCTAAAATAAATCTGGTTTTAGGCATCTAAAAGAGCCTTCATGTTTCCCATTCCATCCATAAGCCATTCTTTGTACATACACAACCTTTACAATGCATTTATTCAGCAATTACGGTACTTCCCTCCATTTCCCCCTGGACTAATGATAGCACCATATGCCCTGCCATTCGAGGCCTAGACTATGTTGTGTGAAGAATAACACCTACTGCACACGCTCAGATAACTGAGCACAGGTGCCCAACATACATCTGAACGGCATGCAAATTCCTTCATGCCCTCACGACTTTCTATCAAAAGCATTATGGCTTTTCTTATGGCCATTCTCTTCAGGTGTTGGATAATGATAAAAACTAAATGTTTGGAAGAAGTCTTCACTCTTGCCAAAGCACAAAGTTCAGATCTACCCAATAGGCTTTGAGATTTAGTGCTGTGTCAGCTTGGCTCCGTCCTGCACCTGTATGCTGGAGCCAACGTGAAGGCATCGTGCCCATAACTTTTCTAAATATATCAGACAATGTGTGTGTTTTGTAGAGTTTAACGTTGAAATTCAGCTGGACCGGCTGAAGCAGCCGCAGAAGGGGGCCGTACGGAGAGCTCTGTTTTTAGACACCCAGCTTCCCGCTCTGCAGAGGACTCTGACTGTGCCAAATGGAGCCAGAGTCTGCAGTGACACCAAGATCTTCTTGCGGGTGAGTTTGACCCCAGATTACCTACAAAAGCAGGACATTAATGGTGCACTAAATAGCAGGGTTTTGGACTTGGAGTTTCAAATTTGATGACTTGCAACTCGCCTTTGACAGCAATGACTCGCGACTTCTCTATCTTGAGTCTAGACTTGAATGCATAGATTCAAGACTTGACTTTGGACTAGAATGCAAAGAAATTGGGCTTTCATGTGACTTTACTTGGTTCGACTAAATAGTATATACAGTAGATAAAAGTTGAATATAAAATGTCCTAATGTGTCATTCAGAAGACTGTGAGCCAATGAGAATTAAGAGTAGGGGGGGCTAACCATTGGAAACATTGAGGGAAAAAATGACCTGCATCATTTTAGTGAGTTAATTTTCCATTTCTTAGTACAAGATAAGTGTTAAAAGTGAAGATAAGTAAGATAAGTGTGGCAACTGATGCCAAAAATGCAGCAAGGGATTAAGAGTCGTTTCGTCCTGCTTTCTGACCTTTCTCACAAACTTCTGTTTTCCTCTCTGTTGGAGTTTAGGATGAGAAGGACTTCAGGGATAAGCTGTCGGCCATCTTCGTTGCGCTCAACTTCAGCCTGAACCCTCAAGCTGCGGCAGACAGATACGGCCTGTGGCCCATCCTTAACTACCAGACAGCGGAGCTCATCGAACAGAAAGTACGTACATCTGCTGCTGCAGATATCCCACAATGCTTTATGTGAACAAACTGAGGTTTTGCATGGAGCGGTACGTTCTTCTCCTCCTTTATGAAGAGATTTTCAAAACATACATCTGGGATGTTCTCCAAATTGTCTGGAAAGCCATTTGAGAGCTGTAGGCAATGTGTAGAGTGTACGGCAGAGAACTTTTCACTGTCCCACCAGGAGTAGCTTTCTGGGCTCTGTGGAAACTCCACTGTGGAGGTGTGTGTGCGTGTAGAGGGTTAATAGAATTCATTTTTTTTCCAGGCAGGTTCTCGCAGGCCATATGCCGTCTGTTTAGGTTTAGCTTTTTGGGTGGCAGTTTTCTTTCAGTAGTTATTGAGACCGTGCCGAACACATGGGCCGCACTGACCATATGCAGAAACATTCTAATCCGAGGTCTTGGAAACATTGCAGATGGAACGATCTTCTAAAACTTTCGCTTATTCAAGCCAAAAAACGAAGTGGAAGCCCTTTTATTCATGATAAATGAGAGTGTCAATTATAAAGAAAGGGAAAAATAATTTAAAACCCTAGTTTAAAACGCACATGCCAAGATTTTAGAAAGTTACTTTGTGTCCACATTGGTTTTATACTGTTTTAAATTGCACTACAACATCAAAAAAATGTAATAATAATAAAAATTTCTTATTCTTCTTACCCTATTGTTATTAAAGTTACATATATTTTTATAGAGTACAAATATATAAAAAATATCATAAATTATTCTTAGAGTAATTAAATGAAAAAAATATTTTTAATGTTTATATTTTTAAATATTATATAAATATACAAAATGTAAAAAAAAAAAAAAAATTATGATGATAATGTTACCACAATATATTTGATAGAGTATTATTATTATTACATAAATATACAATATTTACAGCAATTTATAACAATAATGAAAAGTCATATTATTATTTGTATTAGTATTTATATTATTTTCTAATAAAAAAAATAACTAAATTTCTAAGGATTTATTAATGGAAAAAAATTAATATATCTGGGTGGGAAAAGTGTATTTGTTGTCTTTATTTTCAGGGGACTATAGGTGTGAGGCCACATATTCATCTTGCCTATAGATTGAGATGTTTTGGACCTCCTTTTTTAAATGTTGTTAGTGATCCCACCAGGCGCCCTCCAGTTTGCTTACCCAATCATGCTGTTTGCAGACCTTGACACTTCCGTAAACACTTTATGGTGGTTTTGGCTGTGGATCAGCTTGGACATATGCACATGTGACCCTCTCTTGTATCTCTGCTTGGGCTTCTAATTGTTTGGTTGCTCCAGTGAACCCAAACAACCCTCTCCAGGAGGTTCGGAGCAGCCCGATACAGAGCTATGGAAAGGGGTGGCCGCCCTCATCGGTTGTAATTAGAGCTCAGCAACTGCTAATTACAGGGAAGCCACTTTGCCCTTTCTAATCTCCCTATTCTATTTTCTTATCCTCATCGTCATGTTGCGTCAACCTTGCACATGTTGGAAATACAGCATCAGGTGGTAGCAATTAGCCGCGGCACCACTTTCCCCTTTTCTTTATGTCTTCGAGTCATTCATAAATTGTATATAGATTCTCTCTCATTAATGTGTGTGCGCTGTGTGTATGTATATATATATATATATATATGTATGTGTGTGTGTGTGTGTGTGTGTGTTATGCGATGTGTATATATTTATATTTGTCCGTGTGGTGAGAGTTGGGTGGTGTCACGTGCAGCTAGCATGTGGTTCAGGGTCGGCAGCCTCTGATGTGGATGTTGGTGGCGTATAGAACAGCCTTATGGGTACAACCATAGCTCTTTATTCCTTCAAGTGAGCTCTATATGTTTTTTGAAGCATGTACACATCTGCTCTTCAACCCAGAATTCATTCAGCAGTATTTACTAATCTAAAACCTAGCATTTTGTAGGCTGAGGAGTGATGTTTACGATTGCAAACGGCAATGTTTATATGAATTTTGTTTATATTCGGTAGTGTATTAGGCATCAATATTCTTTGACCATTACATGGTCATGCGCTAATGGTAATGCAGCCGGCCTCTGCTGTCTGTTCTTTGCAAATATCTTCTGAGTGCTTTGTTTGGATTTTTGAAAAAAAAAGCTATTTCATAGTGCAAGTAGTTTGAAGTTTCATGGGAATTTGTAAGTATGTAAAGGTTTATTGGATTTTTTTTCTGTGTGTAAACTGCCTAGAGATGTTTAGTTGGGATATTGGTTATGGGAGGTGTGACTAAAATTATGCTTATTATAGGGCGATGATGCCTGAATGACATTAGAGACACTGGATTGCAGGTGGTATCCTGCATATGATTAAGAAAATGACTGGAGAATCTCAGACAGCTTCTTTTTTTAGATCACATTGTTCGTAAGCGAATGGCTTACTTTCTATTTTTGCCCTTTAAATCAACAAGAAATTGAAATGGACCCTGTTTACTTTCTAAAGGTGCATTCCTGGTCTTATTGTAAATTATATGTTTGTTTGTTTGTTTATGCATTTAATTACTCTAAAAATATTATTAATTAATTTGCTGAATTTCATATTTTTTTAAATAAAAAATAACATGAAAGATAATACCAAATTTCTAAGGCTTTTCTTTTTAATACATTTATGCCCCCCACATATTTATAAAAATGAATTTTAATTCAGAATTTAAAAACATTCTTGTCATGAGTTGCATTTTTAATGTATTCTGAAATGAATAGATCTCGAAATGAATAGAAATCTGTATTTGCATATAACTGTAGATCTTTCTGGCTTTATTTTGGTATGTAATGCCCACTTTTCACCATCCAGTCAATTCCTGAAATATAAAATCAGGTCCCAGGATATTAATTTTCACTTATAAGTCGATTCTGAATCTAAAATAGGTTGCAAATTAATGACTATAATCTCTCAGTAACTTATCTTAACATTTTTCTGGCTTGTGTTCTAGGCCCAGATTTTATTGGACTGTGGAGAGGACAACATCTGCGTCCCTGACCTGAAACTCTCTGTGCACGGGTAAGATGATTAGCAAGGAATGCAAAAAACAAATAAAATCCTGGATATTAGTATTTTTGCAAAGTTTGCAATAAAGTCACGTATGAAGTAAAATGGCTATTCCAGCTACTGTTTAGATTAGATATTTGGATAAATATACGTGATGAGTCACAGCTTTTAGAAAGTTGGACAAAGTGTTCCCAGGTTAGATTAGTGATACACACATGGACAGATACACAGGAAAAAAACAGGAAGGCTATGCTACAGGTGCTGGGATTGTCAGACTTGGCTGGCTTGTGGAAAAAAAGAAACTACATAGATGAGGTGGATAAGTTTGGAAAATTTGGAAATCACTGTGGCCCCCTTTTCTCTGCAGTTACAATGGCAGTTTCCTGCAGTTGATTTGTAAAATCTGTGGGCATTCTCTCTCTTTTATACACAGATTTGTTTGTATCTGTTGTTATTCTTCGACTGTCTTACCAAAAACCTTAGAGATTTGTTGCGTTTGTCTTAGGTCACATGTTTATTAAACTGTGGAGGGTATTAATTTTCTCCACAGAGTGATTTGGATTTTCTTGTCATTCAACAAGCAGAGGGAATAGTATCTCTTGGAAATTCACTCGAGGGGTTATTCTTTAGGAGAAAATGTGAAAATGCATCAGAGATGCCTCGGACAACATGCCTATTCTTTAATACCACTGTCAGTATCTGCTTCCCGGGTCCATATTTCTGTCAAATTAACTTATACTAAATAATTTCCATGTGATTATTAGAACTTGCTGATGTTCATTTGTTGTAAGGGTCTTTATATTTATTTTGATTAGCCTTTTAATGCGAATCATGACCTCCTTATAACATGAACCCAACCTCATATGTGCCATCTGGAGGGGTTTGTTATGAAAGCAAGCGATGGCTTCCACATAGGTCCGAGTCACCCACTAAGCGAGTGTCAGCGTTTGAATTCAGTACGTGCCACTTCCCCAGCATGGCTTTACGAGGCCAGGCGGTAATTGGAAGCGTCTGTGTGGCCCTCGCATGGAATTTCTCATTGTGTCTGAGATGTAGAGAGAAAAGAAAGGGGGTAGGGAATGCGAACGAATAGAAAAAAATGGGAACATTGCAGAATGTTTCACAGTCTTTGTCGTTGCATGTTCAACTTTATAGCTACAATGGAAATTAGGGGTTTTTAATAGGAAATGTGTGTACAGTGCTGGAGGAAGGGCTTCCTGTTGGAAAGATCTGAGTGATATTTACTGCTAGATCAGCAGAATTACATACAGTCAGTGTCCTCTATGCTTAATACTTCACAGCTAGTTTCAAAACTACTACACAGTTTTTAAATTGGCAGTTAGTGGTGCTTGTTAATGCATTGACTTAAACAGTGTTTGTGTTTTAAAGTACAATTTGTATATTTAGTCGTCACCCTATAGACCCTATAGAAAGTAAATTAGCCGCCAGTGCATGAGCTTTACGTTTTGTTCGTGTTTTGGTTCCGCAGGGACAGGAAGGAAGTGTACATGGGCGATGACAACTCTCTGACCCTGACTTTCAACGCAAAGAACGACGGAGGCGGAGCTTACGAAGCCGAGCTGTATGTGGTCTTGCCACCAGAGGCCGACTACAGCGGAATAGCCCGCAATAACGAGGTGAGATATGGAGACCCTCCCTCCAGGTGCTGCCTATTACACGGACGTGTGCCAGATCCCGTCCATTAACTCCTACATGTGTTCAGCATTTCAGTTGAGAAAGACCTTTGTTCTGTTACTTTGATACTCCAGAGAAGACGTGTTTTTTATTAATGGAGACATGTGATGAGAAATCCTGTAGTGAGGCAAAAATATAGATTACTTTACATTTTAAGAAGGGGTAGTGCTTACAGGAGGATTATGGGCCCCAAACAGGGTCTGTTTTAATTAATTACTTGTACTTTTTTGTTAACCCTAACCCTGTGTGGGGATGATTTAGCACAAAAATTTAACATTCAGCAGTAGTACCACAATTATTCTAAGCAGGTCAAGACATGAGCCAGGGGTGTGAGTTATCACTATGTGTGTATTTCCCAAAATTTACTGGTCTTTTTATCTATTTCTCCGGACAGAGCCTGACCCAACTGACCTGCAGTTATGAGACGGAAAATCAGACCCGTTACCTCAGCTGTGACCTGGGGAACCCCATGAAATCAGGCACTAGCGTAAGCACCAAACTATTCTTTCTGTTTGTGCGTATTTACACAATTGAGTGACTTGGGGTTAAAAGTGACCTTTTATCAAGTGCAATTGAATCTTACTGCTTTCCCAGCATATCTGAGAAATGTAAAATTGTGATATGAACAGTCATAGAAATGAGTAGAATCTTATGAAGTCATGGACAAGTAAATAATTGTATAAATCTATCTATTTTTCTATCTTACAGTGTATATATAGTTGTAGTTGAGCTCAACTCTTTTCCCTTGGCTAGAAGTTGCGGTTATTCTTTATTTTAAGGTGTCCTTGTTACAGTGTAATTGTACATTTAAGTACTGAGTAATGTTAATTAACTACATGCACTTACTATATGGTTAGGGTTTGGTTTTGGGCTACTTGCATGTAATTATGCATAATTAATTGTTATTATAATAGCAAGTACATGTAACATGTGTAACAAGACCCTTTAAAATAAAGTGTTACCGAAATTGCATTTTGTGTGCGCAATCTCTATAAAATAATTTATGGTTATCCAGTTATCCTTTTCCAGTATTCACAAATGACTGGAAAAATCATGGAAATTCTGATAAAAAAAAAAACAGGCCTCCAGCAACCATAATTGTGCCCTGTTAGTCACATAACCTTTATTATTCATCTAACATGTGTTAGTCAGCTCGTTGTGCTGTCAGGGGGGCTTGTTAAGGGCTGTGTTGGATCATGTTTGGACAGGCAGGAAGTTCCCACCAGTGATGCAGGAAGTGACAGTCATTTTGACTCTGCCCACTTAGAGAGTGGAGTTCCCCTTTCCAAAATGCCACTGTGTGGAGGTGGTGGGATCTGTGGTTTTTTTAATGTGTCTGCAGAGATGGAGTATAATTGAGTAACTGTTCAAACTGCTCCCTGTCAATATGTGTTTCCAGACACCCCTGTCTGATTTTTAGTCAGCTGCTCTCATTAGTTCGGGGCAGGTTATTTGGGTGTTTTATTCAGCAATTTTATTATTAACGCTATTATTTTTGGATTCCAGGACCACCTAAGAGGTTCCTCATAACAACTGGCCTGTATCTATAATAGTATCTCATGCAATGAGAAATTCAGAAATTACAGACACCCCCACACACACACATGCACACTTGCACGGACACCCACACCCGAACTCTCACACACTGAGTGCCGAGAGCCGCTTGTATGGGGTCTTTTTGTCAGAGTTTATGTGCGTGCGGTGGGAGCATAAAACCACAATTATAAAAGGGAGGCTGGAACTCCCATGCAGTCTGGGGTTGAGTAGGTGACTTCAGCATTTTAGGGTAGTAACTAAGTGGAGTGCTTTTGACAGTGCACCTAAACATGACATCTCTAGATGAATGAGCGAGGATACGTTTTAGTGTTTCCACTTGTGTTTTTTGGATGGAATACAGGAAAGGAACATTCCACCAACCTCAACATCCATTCCGTTGCTATGGCAGTGCATTATGGGGGATTTGTGTGTTTAGAGAATTCTCTGGTGTAATTCTTGGAAAGCTGAAATTCAGTATTGTGGCACTGCTAATATCGTTGGCTCCTTTATGAGAAACTGCTTGCATTTCTCTCATTTTTGGGTTGTTTAAATGAATGAATAAATTAATTAAATGTACTTGTACATGTATATGTACTTGTAGGAAGTGACTTTGGATTTATTTTAAATAAATTGTTTTATTTTCAGCTATGGGCCGGACTGAGATTCACAGTACCACGTCTGAAGGACACACACAGATTTGTGCAGTTTGACCTGCAGATCCGTAGGTATGAAATTTGAAACCAACACGCACAGCTTTAATGTTTTGTTGTGTTGTGTTTTTTTTTGTTTTGCTTTGCTTTGTTTTGTTGTGTTGTTTTTTGTTTGGCTTTGTGTTGTTTAATTTTGTTTTGTTTTTTAAATAAACATTCACACTATCTACAGACAATAAAACTATATAGTAGCAAACATGAATAATTGCTTAGTACTTTTGCAAAGTAAAAGATCACGGTAACACTTTATTTTTAGACATCTTTGTTACATGTACTTACTATTATAATAACAATAAATTATGCATAATTACATGCAAGTAATCCTGACCCTAACCATAGAGTAAGTACATGTAGTTAATTAATATTTATCAGTACTTAAATGATTAATATAATTATACTGTAACAAGGACACCTTAAAGATTTTTTGAATCGGGGAAAAAATTGTTTCTTATTTATAAATAAGAAATGTATAAAGAAATATATAAAATGTGTAAAGAAAATATATATAAAGGAAATCTTATATAAAGAAGTACACTTTTTTTATTGATATTTAAAAAACATATGATTGCCCATACAAAAATTGATTGATTGATTGTTTGATTATTTATTATTATTATTATTATTATTGTTTATCTATTTATTTAAAAATGTATTTCATATTGGCCATCATATAAATGTTTAATTATACTGTAAATGAGACTATTATGCTTCCTGATATATCATGCATCTTTAATAAGGTTAGGTTAGTTGCACATGTCGTTAAAGAGGCCTTAGTATGCTCTTTAATAAGCTCTCCATTTCTCAATCTGCAGTAAGAATGAGAATAACTCCCAGAGTGAAGTCGTCCCCTACAAGTTGGAGGTGGTGGTCCAGTCAGATGTTATTCTACAGGGGTGAGTTCACATGCAGAACCCATTTATAAGCACTTCACAAGACCACTGCTCTTCTGGAACTCTCACTAGGAAGCTCCCCGTGTTCCTTCACTTTCTCATTTTCCCGTCTCTATTTATCTCTCATTCTACAGTGTCTCCCGACCAGACAAGGTCTTCTTTCCCCCACCGAACTGGAAGTTGACCAAGAATGTGATGGTTGAACAGGATGTCGGACCCTCCGTCCAGCACACTTATGAGGTAAAGACCTTGTCTGAGTCCTTCAGTTGGACTTGAAGTCAGAGAGGCCTGTCATTGATAGGAATCCAGAGTAAAAGCTATAAATCCCTATGGTGTAATTATGGGATGTATGGTTGCCTAGCAACTAGCAGTTAAATTTGCAATGTTTTAAATGTTAGCCCTGCCTGCTTTTTTTGAGCTAGAGACTTCAAATAATTTTAGTAAAACCTTCTTTTCATGCACTGCTTGTTAAAAACATTAATTCATTCATTCATATTTATATATTTAAACTTTTTATAAGCAGAAATAAAATAGACAGTCAATGCAACACCATTGTTAAAAGTTTGCTTGTAGTTTGTGATAGTTGCAATGTTCAGTCAGAGATTTTATTTTTTATTTTATTAACACAGAAGTCACTAAGTCCATTTCATGTCGGTCAGTTCCGCTAATTGCTGCTTGCAGATTGGTTTCTTTATATGACACATACTTTCTGCTAGGGTTTTGCTGATGAGTCATGCAAATACTTTGCACATGTAGAGGTTGTCATGGAGAATCTCCAAAAGTTACACAGAGGTCCTAAAATAGCACAAGGCATCAAGCCATCCTTTTATGATGACCAGAGAGTACAGAAACACCTGTGGAGTTACTTTAACAGCACGATTTAATCCTATGGTTGTGATGAGGTAATCATGAAAATGACTAGGCAGCAACCTTGATTTTAAACCAAAGGGTTTGAGAGGGATTATTATGACATAACATAGATTTTTGATTAATATCTCTGTCTTTCTCTGTACGTTTCTCCCTCTCAGTTGGTGAACAACGGGCCGAGCCGCATCAGTCACACTCTCTTGCAGCTCAAATGCCCCATGAGGCTTCAAAGTAACAGGTTCATTTACCCGCTGGAGGTCACGACGGAGGGCCCTGTTAACTGCACCACCCACAACATAGTCAACCCCTTGAACCTCAAGGTAAGACGCTGTGGGTTAACCGCAGGGCAGAGATTTAATCAAAGTACGAACTGACAAAATAATTAAGACTGGGGTGCTTTCTGTCATTATGTGAACGACTTTGATCTGTGAGGCTTTTCTTTTAAAGCACCGTTCATGGGCGAACATGTCTGGGTCGTATTTCACCCATAATGAAAAAAATAAGAAAATAGATTTTACTTTTAATTTGATAATTTGATAATATGTAATATTATATAAATATCATATTATCTAAAATAATAATATTTTTATGTATTTTGCTTCAAATCAAAGGAAGCTTATTTTTAAGACTATTACATGTAGTTAATTTTCTCTCAAATTCTCATTATTGGGTCATATTTCACCCATAATGGAAAAAAAAGAAGAAAATAGATTTTACTTTAATTTGATATAATATACTATTATATAAATATCATAATATATAAAATAATAATATTATTATGCATTTTGTTTCAAATAAAAGGAAGCTTATTTTAAGGATCATTACATTTAGTTAATTTTTGCACATTCTCATTATTGTAATGTGAAAAAAGTTTAATATGCAGAAAATTGTATGAATAAATGGGAAGACATAGTTTAAAATTATTACTGTGTGTGTATATATACACTGTTTTATAAGTATTTTTATACCATGGCAACATTTGTTTTTGCTAATGCTAATTATTTGATGTTAATTTTAATACAAATAAAGTAATTGCATTAAATTGTAAAAATATATAATTGAGAATAATGACAATTAATGCTTGAGCACGCTATAATAATGATAATTTGAAGAGAAAATGTGCCTAATTGTAATAAAATTAACATCATGTAAAACGCCTGGATTTAATTAAAATATACTTAGTTTTCTTCATTAAAGATGTAGCGCTGAAAGATGACCTGGACATATTCTTGATGGGTTATTTCAAACTTATTCTTACAGGAATGTGAAACTGTTGTAGTTTCTGCTGTAAAGACATTAGAGATGGGAGACTCACATGCAGCTCTTAAAAAGGATTTAAACTTAAGGGACATCCGCTGTCAGTAACACCCAGTTTGTCCCATACAGTCAAATACATATGCCCTACACATGCACACACCACCCATCCATCCATATTTCCTAATATGTCCTTTCTTAGAGCCCACCCTGTCCCTCACACAGCCCCACCCATGGGCATTAAAGCAGCCTTTGAGCCTCCTGCCGTACTTTCATCTCAATCTGCTCCCTTCATGCTTCACGTCCCACTGCTGTCTATATAAACACAGCCATCAGCTCAATCAGAGCTCTTTTTAAAAGACCCCTCTACAACGTCTCTCTATCTCACTCTAGAGTTATACAATCTATGATCTGAAAAAGTGTGGGTCACATGTTATCATCTAATGATTATTCTGTATGTTATAATGGTTTGTATACCCCTCTCTCTTTTGGGAGAAATCTGGATGATTCGTAACACTAAACTGCTGTTACATCTGGAATTCTGCAGAATTTCTCCCCTAAGTGGTTGTTTGTTCAGTTTCTCATGCCGCTTAGGGTGTGTTTCTTGGTTTTGAGGAGTGGATGGGTCTACACAATGGAGAAGTTGAGTAAAATTCAGACATCTGTTGCAAAATGCCCCTCGCGTCCCTCACAACGTGTCCCTCCCGCTGAGCTCACGGATGAATGTCCGTGTCGAGTCAGAGGGCGTCAGTACAGACTGAACCGTGATGTCAGAGTCCACAATGTCCAAAAGGGTGGTGAGTTTCCACTCAATGTTCTGTTCCCTTTCCCCTCTCTCTCTCTCTCTCTCTCTCTCTCTCTGTAGCTCCAGCAGTCTTCTACCGAGCTGCCTCCTTTACGAGATGCGGCACACGAACACCACATTGAGAAGAGGGAAACGCACAAGGGCGAGCTGTCTCAGCTGACCAATTTGGTGAGATTTCTTGAAAGTGAGGGGGGGGGGGTGTTATGAAAAAGTCTAAACACAAAGAAAGTGAGTGAAACATTTTTCACTCACTTTCACACTTTTCAGCTGGCCATGCCGAGAGACCATCTTAAAGTGCCCCTATTATGGGTTATGAAAGGTTCATATTTTGGTTTTGCGAGTTTCCAATAACAGGTTGACATGCTTGCAAGGTCAAAAAACACTTTCACGGTCTTATAATATGCATTTATTTTTACCTTACTTCCTTAACGACTCTCAAATGATTCGCTCAATGATTAATTTTTCCAAACCCCTCCTTTGCGTGACGCTAATCTGCGGTGATTGGTTCGATCGGTCTCATTTTAATGTCATCATGCCTGTAATGCCTGATAAAGCGGTGTTTGTGAGCACAGTGCTGCTTTGTGTACAGCGTTACCGGGGAAACCACTATTTTTACAGAGTTTCAAAGCCTGCACCTAGTGGCAGAGAATGAATTTGCATTTTCATTCAGACCATTGCGAAAAGACCAACAAGTGGGCGGGCAATATGCTAATGTTTCATGCTGACTTCAACATGAAACGGCTTGGGATTTGTTTTAAAAACGACTCGTTTCACTGATTCAGGGTCGACTCTTTCTTTTGCGAGACAATAACTTCATACAGGGTGCACTTTCAGATTTATAACTTTGCAGGATGTTTTCATTCACTTAGAGCTGTGTTACACACTGCATGAAAGGTAATTTTCAAAAATCCATAATAAGGGCACTTTAAGACAGCTAAGACCAGCAAACCAGCTTGGGTTGGTTTTAGTGGGTCTTTTCAGCTAAGAGGGAAACTCTTAATGTGCAAAAACATACATAGCCCACATAAATATATTGGTTAAATAAGATATGGGAAAAAGATAGGGTCAATATGAATGGAAAAAAATTAGATGAGAGGATAAATGATTCACTCACAAGAATGTGAAAGCATTCCTCCAAGAAAATGTTGTATTCTGTTTCAAAAACCTGGTGATGTAAATAATATGAGGTGGGAGGAAAAACTATATTTCATTACTTTTGCATTTTCTTGCAAAAGGTTTGTGTTCCCCTGAGAAACTTTTGCGAGAGAATACAAAACTGGTAATGGAAATGATAGAAAGCTCTATTTCAAACTTTTGTGAGCAAACACAAGGTTTCTTGTGGGAAAGCAGAAGCTTTGAGAATGAATGCAACGTTTCTCTGAGGGAATTTAAAAGTTTTGTGTACGAATGCAAAGTTTTTAGAACAAATGGAAAGTTTCTCAGGGAAAAACGGAACGGAAAAGAATGCAAAATCGTTAAAATGTCATTTTTCTATCTTATTTTTTCCATCATTATGTCCCTTTATTAATTAAATATAGCTAATAAAATTGAGATGTATGCATTCTGGAATTACATTCACCTTGATTGACACATGCAATGCTGCTTTTGAATTTGGCCAGAACTCTGAATAATTATGATACAGACGTTGCATCCATAATGTACCTATGATGCCTTAAAGTACTGTCTAGGTAGGCTGCTCACTAGGTTTTGGAACACAGTTACTGAGTCCTGTCAGCAGGAAGGTCAGCATGAGTCATTTGCGTTGGGTAAAATGCAAATGTTGAACAAACACTTCTAATTCAGCTTTCTCATGACCTCAGATGCCATAAGACCTTTGGTTCACTAGTGTAGGAACTCAGAAGGTCAAGTCATACAGGGTCGAAGATCTGCTGTGACTGATTGGCTGCCATTAAAGATGTTTTGCTTGGTTGGTTTAGGTGTATGTGTGTGTGTTTTTGTGTGCTTGCGTATGTGCGTGACCATGTGATAGAACATTAATGACCTCATTACTCTCCAAAGTGATGGGTCTGTCAAAATGTCCTCGCTCTACCCTGTAATTTCCCGTTCTTCTCTGCGTCATTAACCACTTCAGCTAGCACTTCTCTCAGACAGCAGCTGATTGTATAGTCCAGCTGTAGGCACGTAGCTCTCATCCTTGCTCTGTACCTGACCAAATGAAAGAGGGCTTTGTCGCCTGTTGCGCTCAATTGCCCACATTTATCATCTCTTGCTTGATTACGTGTTCCTAGAGGCCTATTTATTTCTTCGGCCTGATCCCTTGTGCTTATTTTGGTGAGGGAGAACAGGAGTCTCTGTTGACATGACCTAGTGAACAGTGAAGATGTGTTACAGGACTCGTAGGCACCTTAGACCAGGAATGTCAAACTCAGTTCCTGGAGGGCCGGAGCCCTGCAGAGTTTTGTTCCAACCCTGCTCCAACACTCATACCATGTAGTTTTCAAATAAGCCTGAAGGACTTGATTAGTTGTATCAGGTGTGTTTAATTAGGGTTGATGAATATAATATAATATATTTTTCTTACCTCAGTTTTATTCTTGTTTTAACCGTTCAGTAAATGAAATAATTATAATAATTATATATATATATATATATATATATATATATATATATATATATTTAAATTAGACAATTTTGGTGTCTGTATCAAATTAAATTGACAAAAGTGATTTTATATACATAGAAAACATAAATGTCTACTTTACAAAAGTGTCTACTATAATGCTTCAAATAACATTTGTAAAAAAAAAAAAAAAGTCAAAATATGGGTAAAATAATGTTCTATCGTCATTGAATGTAACGCATATATTTATGTAAAAAAATTAATCAACACTTATTCTGACCTGTACTTTTTAAAAATATATAAAAAAGTAAGTGATAATACTAAATTTTATTATATTTTAAATGACACAGTGAGTTTTTGGGTGCTGCACAAGATTTTTTTGGGTATATAAAATAGTTACACTGAGTGACGTTTTAGTGGTTGTCTCCTGTAAATCATAGTAAAAATATATGATAGTCATAAATGTTTGCTTTAGAAAATATCTTTTTTCTTACATAATTACTTTTTTCTTACATAAATAACATTTTAATTATGTAATATTTAATTTTTTTATGTATTTATATATGCGGTGCAAGAGCAAGAGCTGTAAACCAAGCAAAACTCCTGAAGACCCCAAACCTCGATGTGGTCCATATACCAATAGAGGGAATTTCGTATGTTCTGTGATCATTATTTTCTCACCCTCCTAATGAAATGAATGTCACATTACAGGGATCCGATGACGAATGTGGTAGTGTACAGCTTGTAAAAACCAGGGAGCTAAATGTTATTGCATCGGAGGGTCGGAATTTGGCTTTAGGCAGCTGTAGGCAGGATTTTACAGTCCTGTGACTCTACCAGTGAATTCCCACTAATTTAAAGCAGTCGATGCACAAGACGTTAACATTAGGTCTTTTGTCATCGCTGTTGGCTCGTGACGCTAACTTCTGTCTCATGGTCCCATCTCTCCATCCGGATATTCACATTCATATTTATTTTTGAGGTTATAATTAATGCTTGTATCCCAGATGACAGGCAGGCATGCTTTTATGCTGATTTGATTGATTTCTGGCAAGAAAATTTGATTCACATGATGTATGTTTGTTTAAAGAGCACATATTTTATGATGTCACTACATTGCAGTGTCATTTGTTTATTTGAATGACTGTTGTTAGGAGGGGTTTGTAATGAGTTGTGGCAGGAGCTAGCATGCAGTGTGATGAAATACTTCTGTACATTTTATTATGTTGATCATTATTAACTCTTTATTTTTCTGATGTGTTAGTCTTGCTCCAGTGTGGATTGCTGGACTCTAACGTGTAACGTTGGCCTGCTGGAGCGAGGGACTAGTGCCATACTGCATGTTCGCTCGCGAATCTGGGCAGAAACGTTCATGGAGGTGAGTGTGGAATACCTTGATGCCAAAGCCGTCTTCTCTAGATTATTACTAATACTGCTATAAAAGCAAAGCGTGGCATGTACAAGCTTTCATACAGCCAAATTTCAGAATCCAAAGTCTTAAAAAAAATAAAAATAAAAAAGAAGCGTGTCCACGATTACACTGATTAAATGTCCAAGTTTTTAATGTAAAGTCTGGCTGTGTGTGGTATGGTCACTAATAAGTGAACTAACAGAGTTTGTGAGTGTCTGTTCATGTATGTTCAAGCCAGTCAGATGATATCTCCGAACAGGAGCTCTTTTGAGAGACGCTTTACATGCTCTCTGCAGTTCTAGCCAATACAAAGCTTATAAGTGAGTGCATTGAAAATACATTAGGAGGAGAAATCCTGAGAGCTCAGCGGATTGGAATGTCAGAGGGGTTTTGTGAGAAGCAAAGCCAGACTGAAACACTGGGATTCAGTGAACCAATGCTGCTCCCATCTGGAGGCATATGGGATTGTTACATTGAAAGCTCAATTCAGTTCAGAACCACCAGTCACATTCAAATTAATTCACATAATGTTAGATTTTAAATTTTCCTACTTTCTCTTGTTGATGTTCTAAATGTGTTTTTTTTTATGCTTTATTGCAGAATCCTTATAAAAGCTTAATTCTGGAGTGCCTTGCTAGTTACAAAGTGGAAAAGATGCCATATGCCATTTTGCCCAAAGTGACTCCTAGTGGTGCTAAAAAGGTAAATTTACTCATCCAATTTAATTCATGTTCATCGATAGACATCACATATTTGGTTCATATTAGTTAAATGATCCACTGATCTTCATCTTCTGTCTGTTACCTGTAGATGGTCACTCCTGTGGTCTGGAATAAGCCAGACGGTACGTATGCTGTTCCTCTGTGGATCATCATTCTGGCTATTCTGGCTGGTCTTCTACTGCTTGCACTACTGATCTACGTCCTCTACAAGGTCAGCGTCTGCCGTTTTGATTTCTAGTTGGGCTTGATAATTTAGTTTGACTTGCTAATCGTAAACAAATAATTTTCCTTTGTAGACAGACAGGCATGCAACCAATAGTAAAGTAATACAAAAAAACTTCCAACTAATCATAATGAATATGTACTTTGGTAACACTTTATTTTAAATGTACTTACTATTATAATAACAATAAATGATGCACAATTACATGCAAGTAACCCTAAGCCAAACCCTAATCCTAACCCTAACCATATAGTAAGTGCATGTAGTTAATTAATATTACTTAAATGTATTATTACACTGTAACAAGGACACCTTAAAATAAAGTGTAACCTGTACTTTTTTTAATGGGATTAATTTATAATTAGAACTAAACCTTATCCTAGAAGTAGCTTGTTACTAATTGTAAACTAACTCTTATCTATTATTGCCAGGCTAGGCAATTAACCTATTGATCATTAACAAAATCTTAATCTTTTTAAGTATTGTAAACTAATACTTATGCTTCTTAAACGAATGAATCGCAAACAAATGATTATTCTTTGTAGGCCGGCAAGCTACTAACTAATTGTAAACTAAATATTACGATTCACATAAATTATGCTTGCATATTATAAGTCATCATAACCTACAGTGGGGAAAAAAAGATTAATTCTTTAAAAATCCTACAATGTGATTTTCTGGATTTTTTTTTCTCATTTTGTCTCTCATAGTTGAGGTATACCTATGATGAAAATTACAGGCCTCTCTCATCTTTTTAAGTGGGAGAACTTGCACAATTGGTGGCTGACTAAATACTTTTTTGCCCCACTGTATATCTTTTTCTTAGTCAGACCATGTTAACTGAAGGTAAATAAATATTTCATAATGGGACTAAATTATGAAGTATTCATAAAGTAAATTGTATCCCTCATAGGTAGGCTAGCTTGGTACTTATTGTAAAATAATCCTTAACTATTGTTGTCCGAATAGTTATCTTTTGTAGTTGGGTCAGCTTTAACTAAACTAATTCTTATCCTTTCAAATTCTTAATCTTTTTAGTCTGACTAGTAACTAATTGTAAACTAACTCTTATCCTTTATATTCGGCAAAAACTTGTAACTAATAATAACCTAAATCTTTTTTTTTATCAGACCATCTCGTATCTAATCATAAATACATTGTTACTAATTGTAAACAAATTCTTATCTACTGTAGTCAGACTAGTTATCTTTTTTTTTTACAGTCAGGCTAGCTTGTAACTTATCGTAAACCAATACTTATCCTCCTTAGAGACTACTTTGTAGCTAATTATAAACTAATTATTTTTTTGTTGTTGTTGTCTGGTTAATTTACAACTAAGCATAAACAAATTCTTATCAGTTGTAGCTGGACTAGTTTGTAAGTAAATGTGAATAACTTCTTATCCTTCTTTGTTCAGCTAGGTAGAGTAACTAGTTGTAAATGAGTCCTTTTCTTCACCATAATTTGATCTCCTTCTCTTCTTGATTCCTGTAGCTCGGCTTCTTCAAGAGAACTCCGTACGGCACGGCCATGGAAAAAGCCCAGCTCAAACCTCAGGCTGCATCCGAGGCCTAAACTACACAAGAGAGCATTCAGAAAACACGTCCCAGAGAATGTTCTTAACCAGAGGCCATCCAAAGAGAGCTTACTTGCTGTTTAAAAAAAAAAGAAAAAAGACAAAGACTAGACTGCAGTAAAGGAATACGGAGGAAAGATCACTGGATCTTCACTGTACTGCACTAGATCATAAGACCCTGAGGACTTAAAGCCAAATGAATGTTGACATTGTTTATTTTATAATATTGTTTTTCCTTGATGTGGGTTTCCATTTTTAACCACCATTTATAGCCTACCACTTACAAACAGATCTTAACCAAAACTCAGGATCACTTGCCTCACCTGGCAGCCTGCTAAAGGAGAAAATGAGACAAAATCTTGCCTAGGCCGACACAATCTGCACTAATATTAAGAGTAACATTTATTATGTTTGAATTTTTAACAATTTCATTTAGTTTTTTGGTCTTAGTCTGCAACTGTTCATGTGTTTCAGATGGTTAAACGGCATCTGTAGTGTAGCATTTTACATTTTTAACGTTTTTTAACACACACGCTTGCACCCAAAAAAACCTTCTATGCAGTATTTCACAACCAACCAAAGATATTGATACAGGTTTTGCTCATTAATTATGTTTTGAAAGTGAGAATGAGGTCGTTTGATACCTCACCATGGACCCTCATCTCCAGTTTCCTGCTGTCTTTTTTTCTTTTTATGATGTTTGAAATGTTTTTAGTTTTTTTTTTTATTTCCATTGGAATGGGTTTTGACTTCAAATCAGCTCAGTCTCCTCTGTATCTTCTGAAGAAAGCAAGCCAGGTTGGTTTCGCTCTCAGGTGATGCCGCGGAAAGGATCGAGTGACTCATTTCCGTGGAAAACATTGTCAGGATCCTTCGCGGAAGGCGACCGTTCTTCCCTACTGACTGTCAGCTGTTTCCGTCCTGTTATCGTAGTAGTAACAAGCGACAACGTTGCCTTAAAAGTCATCTGGGACTCAACTGGATCCGCGCCGAGCCTGTGAAATCTCGCCGATGCCTTGAAGCAGAGCTGTGCTTTGCCGTTACACTAACAGACTCTTGGGCCAAAGAGCGGAAGGGTCGTCCCTCCAAACTTCTGTGGGAGAACGGAGAATCACTGTGGACTTGGAAGGAGATTTGAAAGCAAACCTCTTCCAAGGCAGCAGGCCTTATCCAGGGACTGAATGTTGAAAAACACCTGTATACTTTTTGTTTTGTCTTTTTTTTTGTATGCGTGTCTTTGTGATCATCTGCTTGTGTGCATTTGGATGAGTTTTTTTGTTGTTGTTTTTTTTGTTTTATGGAGTGCCACAGTCAGTGTAGAAATGCCTCCGTACATCATGGTGCTGAAGTGGCCAAATCAGACAGGAAGTAACTACAATCACCCATCGTGAAACTCCTGTTTCAGTGAGCCACCTAGAAAGGGAAAGCAGCTGGAACTGTGGGATGTGTAGGAAATCTGTATGGAAGTGCAATATTGTATGTTTTTTTTTTCAACTTGTTTTGTCATGTGCATATTAATACTATATTTTAGTGAAGTTCTCAGAAATAAGGAGTATTTGAAGACAACACCCAGTCTGATGGTTGAAATTAGCCCAGATGATCAGAAATGTGACTCAACTACCAAAAAGGTCCAGATTTTTTAATGATATAAAGTGTGATTGTACCATAAAAGTTTAGTTTTTATTCACCAATAGTCATACTCCACTTGAATCCTTAGTAATGTTTTGAATCTCTTTTGTACATTATCAAAAATTATTTATTCCTCCAAAAGTTCGATTTTTGTATTTTAAGCGGGAGGAAACACTGGGTATGTCTTCATTTTTGTGTTTTTAAAAACTGCCCCAAATCCCCGTTTGTGTTTTAAGTTGTAAATATGTCTGGTGAGGAGATTATTTTAATTTTCAGCTGATACTGATTTGACATATTTCATCGCCCCATATTGGGGAGAATCAGAGGGATGTTAAAGTAATTATTTGTATTTACAGTTTGCATTTTAAAATAAATCTTTCCGTTTTTTTTTTTTTTTTACAACTTCTGGTTGACCTGTTTTCCTTTTTAGATCATTTAGCATGCTTATGAAAAATGATTTCAAGGGGGAAAAAATGGAATATAAGAGATGCTAAGTAGATAAATAATTTTAAACAAAAAAAGCACCATGTTCAATAATTTATTTATATAAAAATAAACACTTCATTAAGAAAAATGCATAAGATATATACTTTTATATATCATTTCTACAAAACTGTGCTCTCTTCATAGTACTGCTTTAGCCTAGTGGTATTCAGCTTTTATATACAGCAGCTAGTAATAATCTGTACAATCAGTTGTCCTCCAGTGCTTGCTCACAATGAAATTCAAAGGTTAATATTCAAAGCAGGCCACAATACTGTTGAATAAGGAATAAGTGCTGACAGACCGTAGATTTACTGAAAATCACTGCATCTATGTGCATTCATTTTCAATAATTCAATGGTTCAAACTCAGCTGTCAGTCAAAATGTCTATATAATGTTTATTTACGGAGACATTGTTCTAAAATGACTTCATTTCACAACATCATGCTTCTAAAAGCAGCCCAAGCCAGCGTTGCTAGTTCAGAAACAACGTGGCGAAGTGATACAGAACTGTAATCAGAATCAACATTGCCAAGGTATACATTTTTTATAAATAAGAGTTAATGCCAGCAGCACTAAAGTGAAATTCTTTGCTCATGGTGTAGTGTGTCAGATACGGCACATATTAGTCACAGCAGTCAGATCAGAACACTTCTGATTAGGCATCAAAAGGAAATTGTCACTTGTCAGCGTTTTCCCAGCCAATGCTCGGCTTTGCACAGTCCACGCAGCACTGACTGACGACGTTTGTGAGAATTTACACCAATTAACCACACATAGGGTGATCATGGATTCCATCAGTCGCTTTTGTTCTCCAATATGGAGCAGGACGGGCTAAAGAAAGGCAGTTTTGCGGCGTCTCAGCGCTCTATGGCTCTGGAGAGCTGAGTTAGTTTCTTCTGATTGTCGATCACTTTGAGGTTCTGGATGTACTGTCTTATGTTGGCTGCATTGCGCAGGGTCAGGGACTGGTCTGAATCTGCGAGATATGAGAGAGAAAATGCTGAATTGCAACGACTGTAAATGCTGATTTACTCCACTATGTTTTTGCATTATATTGAGGAAAAAGAAAGAACATACATGTTGATAGTCGGATAGCTTGTGCATCCAAGAACATTCTCTCGGTCAAGCCTTTCTGTGGAGATGAAGGCACTGCAAAAGCACAGAAGAGGATAGAATATTGCTGAATTCAATTTGTTCAGACTGAATGAACAACGTGAAAATGAAATTCTACAGTGTTAAACACTATAATCCAAACCACTAGGGGAAGCCATACCGTAAGGTTGACTTCGACACTCTCGAACTGTCTTCACTGTTCTGGCAATCATGCGCTAAAAATAAGATAAAAAGCACATATTGAATATTTTTCTATGGTATAGAGTTTCAATTGAATGCAACATTTAAACTGAAAGCAATACTCTCACCATTTTCTCAAAGTTGACCAGTTTATCAGTGTAGTTCTTGTTTCCCTCATGGATAAATGTCATATCTACACAGGCAAATGATTAAGTTGATTAAACTTATATTCGCTAAATAATCGTGGCATAAATAGTAAATGATGTCCACTGGATCAGTAGTAAACTGCACCTTTAAGCAGTAGAGGCATGAAGGGAATGTATGGAGGGCTGAGTTTGGCTACAGTCAGTCTGTAGGCCCTGTGGTTACGGGATGGATCCTACAACAAAGAGGTGATTACTTTTCATATAGTACCTAGACATGACAAATCCTTGTAAAGAGTGTGCAAATATTTGCTCTTACCATCAGTCTTTCATATGCACAGTAGATCCTCTTGGTTTTGTTTGGAAGTCTCTGTCAAGTCAAGTCAAATGTATTCGTTTACACAGTGTTTTGAAGCAGCTTTACAGAAAATCATGATGTTAAATGAAGAGTTAACCCAAAAAAATAGTATGAATCTAGACTGGCTTTGAAGTTAAAACACCTTAATGATTGTTTTTTTTTTCAATCATGCAGCATTTCACAAGACTTTAATTGATGGACTGGAGTTGTGTGGATTATAGTGGTGTTTTTATCAGCTTTTTGGACTCTCATTCTGACGGCACCCATTCACTGCAGAGGATCCATTGGTGAGCCAGTGATATACTTCTAAATTTCACAAATTTCAGTCTGTTCTGATGAAGAAACAAACTAATCTACATTGTGACGGCCTTTGGGTGAGTACATTTAAAGCAAATTTTCATTCTTTGGGTTAACTATAATATTTATAATATCTTCATGCCTTATAGTCACATTTAGCAGATTAGAGCTGGCTGATGATATAGTTTACATTTCATGACGATACAAGCAATCAAGCAGATGAGATTTGTTATATTGTATATGGATAAAGTTGGACATACTTATATATGCAGAGCTGTGCGATAATATAGTTATATTTTGCAACAAAGTTAATGTAAGGTCATTTAATGTGTTACAGGTCTTAAAAGAAGTTTATGGTATTTTACACAGAAATAAAACAACAAAAAGCTTATTTAGACTAGACTAATAGTACATAGTTGTTCTTACCTCCCAAGTTTTATTGAGCCTCTGTACAGCGCTGTTACTGAGCCCAAACATCACTGCGAAAAATGAATTCAGGTTCTTCTGCTCTTTAAGACTGAAATAGATAATATCGGATGCCCATGAGCTAGTACTCCATAAAGCAGATAAGTCAAATGTATTATTTTCATTCATTTAGTAAACTATTGGTGTTATATATATATATATATATATATATATATATATATATTTGATAAAATGTTTCTTGTTTTCATTAAATGTTTCTTAAGCAGCAAATCAGCATATTAGAATGATTTCTGAAGGATCATGTGACTCTGAAAATTCAGCTTTGCCATCATGAGAAGTAATTATATTTTAAATTAGTTATCTGAAATTGTAATAATATTTGACAATATTACGGTCTTACTGTATTTTTATCAAATAAATGCAGTCTTGGTGAGCATAAGATACTTTTAAAAACAATGAAAAATCAAAATTATTCCAAACTTTTGTACAGTAATGAGATCCCATTTTATCCCATTCATAATTGGATTTTTAAAAAAGTAATCATTCATAAACACTTTGTATACTACATTAGTATATCTCTTCAAGATTAGTGTTGCTTTTATCTGCTCTGTACAAAGTATTCGATTGCTCTGAATGTAAGACAAATAGTCATTGAAATGACACACTTCCTACTAGCATTCATCTGATAAGCACTTATACAGGTATTTGTGAGCCGGCGTTAGATATTTCAAATGTTTACCCAGCAGGTGTGAGCCAGGCGTGCGATTCAGACAGCTCGGCTGTAAAATATTTCCCTGACATGTTTGATTCTCGAACAGATACGCTGCACACATGACTGATCACATCCTGTGACGTTTGTGTCCCTGAACGTGCGAGACGATTTTTATTTAAATGCCAAGTACACACTGATATTTACAGGATTTATATGCTGTGATGCTGTAATTGTGATTATTGATTTTGGTGGTTAAGGGAATAGTTCAACTAAAAAATTTTATTTGCTGAAAATGTACTCACCCTCAGGCCATCCAATATGTAGGTGAGTTTGTTTCCTCATCGAAACAGATTTGGAGAAATGTAACATTACATCACTTGCTCACTCATGGATCCTCTGCAGTGAATGGGTGCCGTCAAAATGAGATTCCAAATAGCTGATAAAAACATCGCAATAATCCTCACCACTCCAGCCCATCAATTAATGTCTTGTGAGGTGAAAAGGTATGTGTTTGTAAAAAACAAATCCATCAAGGTGTTTTAATTTTAAAACATTGTTTCTGGCTAAATGTCCATAATTGATAATATCAGTTCTTCCAATGAAAATCGTCCCCTCTCATCAAAATTCACCAACATATTTGTTAAGAACTGGTTTTGATTGTAAATAGTGCTTCAGACCAGATGACTCTCTCACTGGAGAAAGCAATATAGATAGAGGACTATACTGTTGTATTTTAGCCAGAAGCAAGGGTTTGAAGTTAAAAATGTCTTAATGGATTTATTACAAGCACACATCTTTTCACTTCACACGATGTTAATTGATGGACTGAAGTAGTGTGGATTATTAATCAGCTGTTTGGCCTCTCATTCTGACGGCACCCATTCGCTGCACAGGATTTTCTTCTACATTCTGGGTGGCCCGAGGGTGAGTACATTTTCATTAAATTTGTATTTTTGTGTGAACGATTGCTTTAACATAACAAATCCTCTCATTTAGACTTAGTTTTCAGTCATTTTTGTTCAATACTCCTCCTTAACCAGATAGGTGGCATCAAAGACTGTAATGAAACAGTTGTGCACATGTGCCAGTGACCAATCTGTGTGCTGGTTTGGCTGTTACCTCATGCATGACCATGAAGAGCTCCCAGTCGTAGCTGGTGTGCTGGCTGGCCATGTCCTTGGAGCACATCTGCTCCAGAGTGTCCATGCTGCTCTTCTCTGGCCCCAGCTGCTCTTTCACCGGTGTCTGTCAGGGGCAAAATACACACACCAGAGGAGACTCTTAAACCTGAACCATAATATTTGACCATTCTGTTAATGAACTAACTGCAGAATGTAACCTTTCACATTTGAAACTATATGACTGAAATGTGAAATTTTGTCTCAATCAATAATTACATGATATATTAATCAAATGAAATAAAAATAAATCAATAACTTATTTAAAAAAAAATGCATACTTGCTGAGAAAAGCTCATTATTTCAAGTATCCAAAAACATTTTATAACCAATTTTGCAAAGTATTTCAATATGCAGACAAACAAATACGTCACAGCTGATGTATATATTTACAGCTGACTTGTATGGCTAGAATTTCCACCAGTGTGGAGCTTTCACTATGAAACAGCAATAATTCTGTTGGCATCCTCACCAGTTGTTCCACTTGGCTGGCAGAGCAGAGGAAAAGCTTCTCATTCACTCCTAAAGAGGCAGAGACCGCCGTGGTCTCCAACTTGAGCTGGACCCTGTCTGCAAGAAGCCGAAGAAACTTTGATCACATCAAATATCTGATCTGGTAGGACAGAATCTAATATCGAAGCTGTAACCGTTCTGGCACAGTCAGAAGATCTTCAGAGGAAACTATGAACCCAACTCATCTGAATCTCATAGCTTACCTCCTGAGGAATTCATCTTGACCAGCACATAGTCTCTCTCAGGATCCACTAATGTAGTCAAGATGTCGTTCACTGAAGCATCGACCGACAGCATCACAGTGACAGCCTTATGATCCGGTTTAAAGATCTCATATAAGACTGCAAACGGACAATTGGACTCTTTTAAATGAACAAATTTAATTAGGTACATTCAATGGTGTCTATTTTGATTCATTTTAGCAATTTCACAGGGATGTTATCCTTGTTTCATCTGCCCTTAATTTAATTTCTTTATGGCATTGGTTATTATTAAAACTCTCACTGAAGTAAAAATACAAACCTTTATCTTGAGCTTTAATCGACCGTAATTTCCCCACCGGCTCTTCGTGAGCAGAAAACCAATCAAACTTTTGGTTCAGCTGAAACAAACAGATGACCACATTGGATATTTTAGAGCTCCAAAAGGCAGTTTTCAACATGTTTAGACAGACTGGGTGTCTGAAATAAATGGACTGCATCGATGGTCTCAGGTATGATGTTTTTTTGTGTCTGTGAAAAAGTGCAGTTTTTATTCCAAGAATGTGAGGAATCCAAAAAAAAAAACAAGGATCAGTGAAAGATGGACTATGGCATTTTAAAACCATTTTTAGGATGACTTCTCTCAGAGAAAGCTGAAAAAGTCCTACCAGTATGTTTTGCATTACTGCACTGCACTAGTGTTTCCTACAGAAATCCGTTACTTTTTTTGCAGCAAGGGAGACTATGTATAGTCTTTACTACAGTATATACTGAAGATCACATGGTCACAAATCATAACATAAGAGAGCTGATATTTTTGTGCAAGTGTTTTTATGTGTACAAATTGACATTGGCTAGTGTGTTACTTACATTTTTGTCTTTCTTCTGTCCCTCAGCTGTTCTTTGAGCATGTTGGAAAGTCTCGAGTCAGACATCACCCCTTCCCTGAATTTCTATCACAAAAATAGAGATATTTTAAATAAACATACTTTTGCATTACATTTAAAGACAACATGAGTGTCAACAGCACTGACAATGCAATTAACTTATATTATTTTTTGACACATTTTTGAGACTTTTTTTTTTTACAGTATTCAAAGGAAAATAAAGTACAGTATGGTGACAATGTATTCATTTGGATCTGATTGGATTTTATATGTTAGGTTATAATACTATTACAATTTTTATTTGTATTTTTTATTATTAGCAATTTATTTATAGCATTATTTTCCCTGAGAAGATGTATTACATTAGTACATTTTTGGATGAAACATATTAGGTTATGACCATATTGGTTAACATTTATGTATGTATCTATCTATCTATCCATCCACCCATCCATCCATCCCTGGGAAGATGCATTACATTTTTGGATTAAACATAATAATATTGGTATATTTTTACATTTCCAAAAGTCAATTTTGATTTTATTTTATTCAGTCTTTAAGTATTAAAGTGTGCCATCTTCAACTCTAAAGTACCATGAAAACATTTGAAATTTGAAACGTTTTAGCACTGAAGAAGTACTACAGCATTTAACCTATTTTTACCTCCAGGAATTCAGAGGCCACAGGATTGTCCCTCAGTAACAGACCGTACAGAGCCACCCAGTGAGCCACCAGTTTCACAACCTTCTGCTTGGTGTTGAGAGCATACGCTGCCTTCTCCAGGTCTGTACCTTCTGATGGCTCCGCTTGGTAGGTACAAATGTAGGTTAAGGATACACTTACTTATTGTTTCAGTTAGAACTTCGAGCCCTTTGGCATAAAGACTGGTAACAAAACAAATAAAACACAGAGGAAATATCAATATGAAGTAGAAAATCAGTAGTTCCTGTAGTGACAGGATATTGATGCTGGAGGGCTGCACAGAGCTGGCTGTAGGGCATGAAGACTGGATGTGTTAAGAGGAAGTCAGTCACACTGGGATCTGCAGATGTACAAAACAGACTCATAAACTTCATTAATTAATTGTTTTCTTTACTGAGCTGTGTGGAGAATCCCAGAACATCTGAATCATCTGACTGCTGGTTTTAAACACCAAATGAGCAGGATTGTTTTGGTCTCTTCCTAAGTTCGTTCTTCTGCAGTGGTACTGTAGTAACTGATTGGTTTTCAACAAACAAATGTTAGATTCCTAAAGATTTCATATTTAAGTAAAATGCTACACAAGATCAGCCTTACCTATAAAATCAGTGCCATTGGTTTCCAGTTTAATCGTCTCCAGCATGTGTTCTAGGACCTTCTCTGGCGTTCCTGACATTACTGTGTACCTGAGAGGTGAATAATTCATATTGAGTGTCCTCCATTTCCATCATTCATAATTGGTTCAATGCACTTAAAATCAAATAACAGTGATGACTAATGACTGAGCTTGCATTTCATTGTACATTAACAGTTTTGTATGTAAAGTACCCAGGATGAATCACTTTTCACTGCAGACATTGAACGGCTTTACCTATTCTGGATATGTATTATTCAGGGCTCGTTTCACTTGGTGATTTTATATAAATGGTTTATGAAGATTTGAATTGGCTGATTTAATTTACTCGCATGCGTGGTAAAATGGGTTTAACACTGAAGAGATATTCTCATAAATTAAGTAAACACAATTCATTTTAAGGCGTCTAAAATATCAACATAATCAAAACTTTTCTGAAAACCTGTTATACACAATCTACTACATCTAAATATCTTACAAAGACATTATTAGCAGATATTTAAATGCATTTTATGTAATTAGTCTGCTTTACTATTCAATCTCATTGATTTATATTACAACTAGTCAGAATTTAATCTTTTTAGCTACATAAATATCAGCAACTGCACCAAATACATTTGTGCTCAGTTTGGGCCTCTGAATAAATTTGAGATCATGCTATATGAGCCATAAAAATCATATGTATTAAATTAAATATAATACTCAAACAATTTTGTAAATCTTCTTATGTATTCAATATTTTGTCTATAAACTGTTCTATTTTTAAAAAATCTTTTTTGTAGCCATTTTATATGTCAGGCTTTACAGGGTATATATATATATTCTGTTTGATGATGCTTAAAACTACTAAGCTTTAATTAAATCATAGAGGTATGCAATTTAGCATAAAAATGGACAGAATCATTTACTTGTTGCTGCTTGCTGATCCTCCCTGATAGGCGGACTCCTGCGCCGAGCTCTTCTCAAGAACCAGAACGACTTTACCGTGTTCCTCCAGGCGGACGGTGTTGGCCTCAACATCCTGCAGTTCAATTCAGGTTTAGATCACCATAGCTACCCATCCATGCAGATCCTAGGCTACGCACACACAACCTACCTTTAGGATACGTATAAAGTCCTGCTTGTCCACCCGCAGGAAGTGGCAGTTGTCCTCTCTCAGGATGATGGTGGCAGAACGAGGGGCATCATTCACCAAGGCCAGCTGCCCAAAGTCTTCTCCCTCATGAAGTGTGGTCACCAAGCCCTGTGTGACGCACATACACAAGATCATCTTTCCTTAAGAGGAAGCGCACAGTATGAATTACCTTCAAACAATGTAAGTATATCTATATTTAAACTCAGTGCTATCTAAAGGTCACTCGACTGATGTTAAATAGCTTTACCTTGCCGTGTGTGATGACATTAACAGAGCCTCTCCAGATGATGTACCAGGAAGTCCCTTTGTCCCCCTGACTGAATACTTAAATAAACACAAACACATTACATTGTATTCTTATAGTAAACACAAGCTTACCTTTTTCTTTTTTTTACAGAAAAAGCTTGATTAGGCTGACCAAATTTAGACATGTGAACAGATGAATTTTTTTCCTCAACATTTTAGACAATAATTTTGTGCAAGGTTTCTGTGGGTCTTAAAAAGTCTTAATTCGCCCTTCCCAAATTAAGACCTAAAAAGATCTTAAATTGGAGCAGAAAGTCTTAACTTCATAAAGTAATGGCATTAAATCTTTAATTGAATATCTAACTTATTTATATTGGAAAACAAAACAAAAATACTATCTAAACATCCTTAAATCATGATACATTTATATGAGGTGCTTGTTTTATGAGAGAGATTGAATAAAATTAAGTGAGTTTATGCTTAAAACAAGAACAAATATCTGTCAATGGGTTATGGCGTATATTTAAACTTGTTTTAATCATAAACTCACTTTCTCATAAAACAAGACTTCTTGATGCAAATTTGCTTCGAAAGTAAATGTATCTTGATTTAAGAATCTTTAGACATTTGCATTGGAAAACAAGACAAAAATACTGATGAAGAAAGTCACTTTTTGCAGTGATTTTTGATCTGAAGGCACAGTAAAAGTGTCAATTGAATTAAAAATATTGCAGATCTATTGGAAGTATTTTTAAACTTTGATGTGTTGCTAATACAATACATGTTTACATTTAGAGACCATATTGACGTATTATTACATGTAATTGATTTTTTACATTTTATTTACTTGGTTTTAAAAAGGTCTTTAAAAGACTTTCATAAAACCTACAGAAACCCTGTTGAACCGAAAATAATCATGCTATGCAAAACTTGATCATAAAATAAAATATATTTAGTAAAAAGGTCATTAAAAATGAAAATAAAAAGTTAAATGTAATTTACAATAAATAATATCAAGACTCATCCGATTTTTCTTGTTGAATATCCGGTTTCATTCAGAAATACATTCTTTACAGAAGAAACATTTATTTTATGTTTCATTTTGACGTCAATTCTAATAACTAAATCCACTGGATCTATTTAAAAGTAATTTAATCTAAATATCAGAATTTGCGTTGAAATGTAAAATCATAATGCAGTGTTAATATGTCTGAGAAATAAAAAATATGATATATGAGCCTGAATAAACTGAACTAATATGAGCTTATGAAACTTAAACTACCCAATTAGATAATCATCAGTGTCTGCTTCCTACTCGTGCTATTCACTCTGCATGAATGACTGCTGCGTTGACGCCAGACGTGCTGTAAATGCTTTCATTGTCTCTCAGTTTGCTAATATTAGGATGTCAATCATCCGGTTCATCACATAAGGGAATTACACAATAAAAGGATTTAAACATCTCATTCTTATGCTGTCTGTCTGTGGTGTCTAAACAGGAAGTTTGCTGCTCATTTTTACTCTGGCTAAGCGCAAATTCAATTATTAGCACCGTTCCTTCTTCCCGCCCACCACTAATGAAATGTCATCATTGCTTTCACACTCACAGACTGTTCCCGCCTTGGCATGGCTTTCAAAAACCAGCACTGCTGCCAGCTCCTTCCGAACCTACGGGAGAGAATGAAAGAAATGAGGGATGAATGAAGATTTGTGGTGCTAACAAACATGACGGCTGTCAGCGATGGTTGACTCACAGATGTAGACAAGTGGGCCACAGCTTTGACGTGCAGAAGTTCTTCATAAATAACTTCCAGGTCCTCTGGAGTTCTCTGGCTTGGGCTAAAACATGGACACAGATTATTACACAGAGAAATCTTATGCTGTTTATAAAAGAGTAAATGTGAAGTGTGTGTGACTTTTTTTGATGTTAAAATTCTGTCCCAGCTTAATATCTTCAGACAACTATAACTGTCACAAATATTTGTTAGACTTGATTTGATATGGATTTCTGACATTAGCGTGTTTCTAAGTCAATGGCGATGCATTAAATTTAATTAAACTGAACATTTTTAATGGCACTTTTCAGCCCCGAATGAAATCGAAGTTTATTTATATTCAGCAAGCTCTTCGTCTGGTGACTTTAGCGCACAGTGCTAAGTGCTAGTACTATATAAACTGTGTTTAAGCTTGTTATTTTTCAGACTGTTTTGGCACAGTTGTTGGTGTCTTACCATTTACGCAGTATCATAGTCAGAAGAGCATCCGGACCCATCTGGATCAGGAGCGATAAACTCTCTTGGAGTTCTTCATCTTTGGAGTCTTTATCGTTAGTTGTGTGATTAAGGTCAAACTCTGCCTCCATGAAGCGGTAAAACTGTGTGTCTTTGTCATGGAAGTTTAACTCCTGTTTCACTGCACATTTTTACAGAGACATTGGTTGCCAGTTAGTCAATAAATTCAGATATTATGGTAATAGCATGTACTTTTGGCCATGGCAAAACAATTTTTTGGACATGTACTATTGTAGTAAATACCATGATGTAATTCCTCAGCACCATGATATGTATCTAAATGCCATAGTATTATAGTCTGATACCATCACTGTACCATAGTACTCTTGTTTAAAGGAAAAGCATGCAAATAATCTTGTGTTGATATCTATAGATGATCACTCACCATGACTCAGAATGCCCTCGTCCACCAAAACTTGCCACATTCCGACTGCCTGACTCCGGGACTGGAAGCAATCATTGAGTTTCATTAGCCAATCCACAAGATCCTTCCCACTGCAGCACTGTCTGTGGGACAAACCAGTCAAAAAGTGTTACACATTTATCTGCATGTCTCTATGGTTGAGTAATGAGTAAGTTGGTTGATTTGTTTCTCCAAAGGATGCTTAATGACTTCCTGGGAATAATTAGATGCATTTCCATCACAGTCAGAAATATAACACGCTTTGCACAAGCACGTGACAGACGGAGTGAAAGATTCACCTGTAGGTCTTAAGATGGTGTTTTCTGTCTCTTATCAGGCCTGGGTTACGCTCCATCAGAGTGCTGTAAACCACCCGTGCAGCCTTTAGGATCCGATCGGATAAAAACTGATGGAGAGAAATAGAAAAAAAGGTAATGAACATTCTTATTGTCATTATTTTTTCATTTTGTACTAATTACGCCGTTCTTTTGTAATGTCTGTTTAAATATGACAGGAAATTAAAATTGACACCAATTCTTCTTAATGACTTCCTGAATGTTTTAAAAAGTTTCAGAAAATGTGTTGACTGACTTTTGAATACTATTTTACGACAATTTGAAATGGAAACTGGCACAATTTACGTTCTTAATTACTTTCTGAATGACTTTATATTTATATGAACCACATTTACATTTGACATTTATTCATTTAGCCGGTGCTTTTATCCAAAGCGACTTACAAATGAGGAATACAGTAAGCGATTCATCATAAAGAGGCAAATAAAGACAAAAAGTGCTGATAATACAAAGTTTCAGACATTGTTTAGAATAGTATTAGCTAGAACAGGGAGGGATTGAGGAAATTTATTTATTTATTTTTTTAAGTAGGATGCAATGAAGAAATTAGTTTATAGCTGTCTCTTGCATATTGTTTGGGATTTGGCATTCCACCAGCAAGGAACGGTGAAGGAAAATGTTCTGGAAAGTGACTAGTAATATTAACCCTGTCACCTAAATGGTCTCATCAACAGATATATCCCACCCTAATTATTTTCCACTGAATACACCACATTATGCAAATTAAATGCATCGCAATTGCTGTTTCATGTTGTTTTGAATCGGATGAAAGCTTGTTCATTTCCAAAGCAAGACTGGAAATGTTTACTATTGTGTTCACAGTCATACACAAAATTTCCTTTACAACCATATCAGCCATATAGAAACGCAGTGAGTTGGTGTTTTACTGAACAGGTGAGTGCAGGGTGAGAACCTGCAACATTTTTTCCAACACCATCCCGCCGAGTTCAATTTACCAAACTGAAGATCGCTAACGTTCACACTCCTCCCCCGTATGGAAGCTGTTTCTCCGCTCGTCTGTTTTCCTTCTATCAACTTGCTCTGTTTTCATCCATCCCTCCCTTCCAAGACTTCTGTTTTCATTCCACGTCTCCTCTTATCCCACCCTTCATTCTGTTGGACCCCCCGCAGACGGCACGTCCCGCTCTAGCTCCCAAACAGACTGAGAAGACTGGAGTGTAAGAACTCGACCTCATTGATTGAGGCTAGAGTTTATTGAACTACTGAAGCATGCCACCGTTGTTGCTACGCAGCCTTCGTTTTTTTTTCTGCACGCCTGCCAAGACCAGCTCACTGATCACATGGTGATGAAACTGGTTTGTCGCATTGACACACTGTAAAAAAACAACCTCCGTTGAAGTGTAGGCAAACATAGGAGGATATGGACAAGTTGGGATGGCAAGCATTGCATTAAAAGCTAGTTTTAGAAGAATGGCCCACTTAGACCGGCATCAAGTTGAAAGCTGGTTTTAGTGCTGGTTTGCACTAACGAAAGGAGGCTTGCTAGTTATAGCTGGTAAAAATATAACATATGGTGTTTTTTTTGTTGTTGTTTACTGACGACACTCTGTAAGTGATTCAAGTGGTTTTAGTAGAGAACACACACACCAAAATACACCTCATTTTTACATTTATGCTTCAGAACATCAAAAGCTGCAAGTTCAAAGCCAAACTCCTCGAGCTGTTGCATGAGGCTGTAACAGCACAGCAACCCAAGTAAAACTGATAACTATTTGTGCATTTACTGATAAAAAAAGAGAGTGGTGCTGTCACAAAACTTGCTGTCATAATGCTAGGGTGTTGTGAGCGGTTGTCGGGGCATTGCTATGTGATTGCTAAGGTGTTTTGCGTGTGGTTTTTTTTAGCCTATAACTAGGTGGTTGCTTATTGGTCAAAATCAAAAGTACATGCACTACCATTCAAAACTTTTTGGTAAAATTGTTTTCATGTTTTTGAAAGAAGTATCATAAAGGCTGCATTTATTTGATCAAAAATAACATTAGTAACAGTAATATTGTGAAATAAATTACAATTTCAAATAACTTATTTCTGTTTTAATGTATTGTAAATGTAATTTAATTCTTTGAGAACAAAACTGAATTTTCAGCAGCCATTACTCCAGTCTTCAGTGTCACATGATCCTTCAGAAATCATTCTTATATGCTGATTTGATGCTTAAGAAACATTTCTTATCAATGTTGAAAACAGTCGAGCTGCTTAATATTTCGGTGATTCATTTTTATTTCTTTGATGAATAGATAGTCTAAAAGAACAGAATTTTTTAAATTGTAACAAAGTCTGTTACTTTTGATCAATTTAATGCTTCCTTGCTGAATAAAAGTATACATAAAAAGATGTCACAAGTTATGGACACCAAACTTTTGAACAGTAGGGTATTTTTCATGTACCATAAGACAGTATATGGCAGTATGAAAGGTATATAGTTGTATACTAGTATAAAATGGTGCCATGACCCCACCACCCGTCTTGTCTGATAGAGTTGGCTTGTGTTTACATCTAGCTAAATTCATTACCTTCTGATTTGTAGTTAAATTTTTACGCACAATCAAAAGAGAACAGTATATTTCGGGATTCATTTTTATTTCTTTGATGAATAGATAGTCTAAAAGAACAGAATTTTTTAAATTGTAACAAAGTCTGTTACTTTTGATCAATTTAATGCATCCTTGCTGAATAAAAGTATACATAAAAAGATGTCAAGTTATGGACACCAAACTTTTGAACAGTAGGGTATTTTTCATGTACCATAAGACAGTATATGGCAGTATGAAAGGTATATAGTTGTATACTAGTATAAAATGGTGCCATGACCCCACCACCCGTCTTGTCTGATAGAGTTGGCTTGTGTTTACATCTAGCTAAATTCATTACCTTCTGATTTGTAGTTAAATTTTTACGCACAATCAAAAGAGAACAGTCTTATTATATATAAAACAAACTTTTTGTGGGCAGTATTAGCCCAAAAAGCATGAGCACTTCAGTCAAATCTGCAGGAAATTCAAACAAAATGTTCAGTTTCCTATTAAAACACACATATTGCAATACTGCATACTATTTGGGATAGATAATATGTGGATTAGGACACATGCTTCTGCTCCACCCTAGCTGTCTCATTCTTTAGTCTTGTGATTTTTTTTACGGAAAATCTGAACCTTCATTTGTTTGTTCTGTTCCTCCGCAGAACAGTTTGTCCCAGGATGAGGTCTTGAACTTGAATTGCCTGCATTTCTCACACTTTATTTGTTGTGGTTGTTGCTGAGGGCGGTGGTGTGTGCTCTTTCTTGGAGGCCCCTGGCCTGGTCGGTCAGTCACGGTGATGTAATTGGCTTCTGACCCATGAGGGATTGGCTGACCCGTCTTTTCAGTTCGAAGGAAGGCCACATCTACAGTGCTGTTCTCACAGGACCACTGCATTAAACGCTGCACAAGGACAGTTCTGTACAGAACATGTGCTTAGTCTCCAGTCCAAATTATCCCGGGGCAATTTCAGAGTTACAGTTCTTATAATGCCTGTTAATGTAACTCATTTGGTAATTAGTATCTAAGTAGTTTAGCCAACTGCAGCACAGTCTTAGTAAATGTGGTCAATCTACATCTAGCCTGTATCCTCCGAGACTTACACGCTGCAGAACTCTCCATCTAGCTCACTTTACACAGCTTGAGCCCAGACACTGTGTCTGCAGACCCTGAGCATGTAAATCTCTCCCTTGTCATCTCTGCTTCGTGATTCTGTCCCTGGAGATGAGGGTATAGATGGGAACAGTAGCTGGCAGCCTATTCCCAGCATTCTGCAGTCTCCTGGGGAATAATTACTTCACTGTGGATCACTGACTTTGACAACTCTCCTGAACACTTGGGATTAGATGTATCATAGGATACCTGTGACAACAAGAAGCATGGCTGCTCATTCTCCATTTTATCCAAATATCCACTGTATCATTTAACTCACATATTAATGTTGTTTGTAAAAGCTTTGAAAATGTCTTTGGTCATTTTAATGGATACACTACCTTTTAAAGGTCCTAAAACCATTTGGGGTCCTAAGATTTTTTTGAATGATTTTGAATTATGCTTACGAAGGCTGCATTTATTTGATTAAAAATACTGGTCACACTTTATTTTAAGGTCCATTTCTTGTTATTAACAAACCATTAACTTTTGCCTCAACAAACTCTTAATTTGCTGCTTATTAATAGTAAGGTAGTTGTTAAGTTTAGGTATTGGGTAGGATTAATGATTTAGAAGCATGCAAAATGTATGCTTTATAAGCACTAATAAACAGCCAATATATTACATTTACATTTAGTCATTTAGCAGATGCTTTTATCAAAAGCGACTTACAAATGGGGACAATGGAAGAAATCAAAATCAACAAAAAAGCAATATGCAAGTGCTATGACAAGTCTCAGTTAGCCTAACGTTATACACGTTGCAAGGCTTTATTATTATTATTATTTTTATTATATAATAAATAAAAAGAAAACAGATAGAATAGAAAAAGAATAGAACAAGCTAGTGTTTTTTTTTTCAAGAAAACAAGCAGTTATTAAATGAAGCGTGCAAGTTTAAAAGGGGCAAGTTTTTTTAAGAATAGAATTATAATAGAGAATGCTAGAGTTAGAGGGTCAAATAAAGATATTAATAATAGGCATACTAACTAGTGAGAATTGATACCTATACTAAAATGTTACCAAAATACTGTAAAACAGTAATATTGTAAAATGTTATTGTAATTTCAAATAATTTTCTATTTTAATATCTAAATATAAATTTAATGTATTCCTGTGATGACAAAGCTGAATTTTCAGCAGCCATTACTACAGAAAACATTCTAAAATGCTGATTTGGTGCTTAAGAAATTGTGTTGTGCTTATTTAGTTGTATTTTCATTGTCCTGCTTAATATTTTTGTGGAAATCATAATACATTTTTTTTTAGGATTATGAGTTTTACTTTGTTGTTGTTATGTTTTTCTGTAATAAATAGAAAGTTAAAAAACAGCATTTATTATAAACCTTTTGTTACAATATATAATTTAATGCATTCTTGCTAAATAAAAGTATTCATTTCTTTAAAAATAAAACTTTTGAATGGTAATATATATGTTCATCATGTTAACTTTGGACATGCTCCACTCATGTTTGAAAACCTGAAAGTGTCATATGAGTCTTAAATTTGAATGTATCTGTTATTTCACTTTGCAATTCTTTTTGTTAAATTGTTGACTTAAAACAATGTGCTTGTGCTATATTTACATATATACTTGTTTTTCGGATTCTCTCAGGTATGTCTTAAGGATCCCAGGAGAGCTCCAACCAAACTACCAGGTCATAGAACACGGGTTATGTGATGTCTCTCCACATGACTAAGGGTTTGTTCAGAGGGAAAGGGTGGTATTGTTCAAGTGTAGGTCAGATTACTATACACACAATGTAGAGGCAGCAGGGTAGCACTTACTGTACAATATAGGTATGTGATTATAAACTTTTAGTTCAGGGATATAGTTGGCTATAAAATAGATAAATTAGGTTTTGCCAAAATTGTAAGAATGATTTGCATTTGTAATTCATTAGGTTATATTTATAAAATATTTAAATAATTTGAATTAATTAATTATTTTAATTATAAGAACACTTAGTTTGATAATATTAATAATATATATATATATATATATATATATATATATATATAATGTGATCAAATATGTATAAAACAAAAACTTTTTTGTGGTGTGGTCACTACTGTACACCTCCTGAACTACTGAAAAACATCCTTATTGTTCATCCCTGTTTGAATATGAATAGCTGCTCAACAAAACAACAGAGCCTCACCCTACTGAGCTTTGCAAGCTTCTAACACAATACCTCAACTATAGAGACTTGTCGGGGATGTGGTTGTGCTTCCTTTGTCTACAAGTGTTAGTCACCCACATGCATTGGGTTTTGAAGTAGCAGCAGCACAGACCCGTCCTCCTCTGTTGTGTGGGGAGGAAACAGGCTGTGTTTTCCATCTGTGGGCGACGGTAACAGCGGAGGCAGTCGTGATGGTGTGACCTTGGTGAGCCGAGGGAAAGGCTTCGTTCTGTACAATACATAGCGAGCTCACAATAGAGGTGGGCAGGAATCATCATATCAGAAACACCGGAGCCACTCAGGACGCATTATGGTTATGAACTTATCAAGGATATTATTGTTAACTAAAGTATTAAATACTATTTTTGATTTAAAAAAAATACATTTTGTAAACTGAAGTAAAGCTGAAAAAAATATACATATTTATTAATATAAGCACTACCATTTCTAATAAAAAAAAAACTAAACTTAAAAAAAATGATATAAATGCAACCAAAATAGTAATATTAAAAAAGACAAAAGCAGAGAACGGAGTAACAGAATTACTAAAAATGTAACAAATGAAAACTGAACATTTAAAAATAAAATCTCATTCAAAATATAAACTATAATAGTATATATATAATATACATTTAATATAATTCTTATATTTTCTGCCAAGGTTAGGGTTTCAGAATACCCTTAGTTAGAAAACACTACTTATTGCCCTAAGTAGGAGTTATAATAATAATAGTGATGCTTGCCTTAAAAACACCAGTAATAACATAAAAGAGCTTGATGAAAACAGCTTTCCTTGTTCTCTTTCTGCTCAAAGGAACACACTCCAGGAATCACTGTGCCCACAAAAAAAACACTCCAGAAGCTGAGAGCATTCCACAGATGAAACGTCCTTCCAGAGCTCTGATAAACCACATTTAAATCCTTGGCAATATTGCCTTTACTCCCATCAGGCAATGGCCATACTCAAACGTGCAAGCCCAGATGTCTGCTTAAAACTATTGACTGAAAAACAAAAAGCATTTCAGCTGCATTTTCTCAGGTTTTTCATCCCCCCCCCCTCCCCCTCCCCTTGTGGTCAATGCAGAATCGCATAAGAAAAGAACTGAAAGGTGTGTGCAAAGGAAATAGGTATTTATGGTGATTAGAGTATTCTTTTAAGGCACAAAACAGGCTCATTCATTAGATAAGCAGAAACAATTGCTATGCATGTTCAGCTGCGAATAATTATTAGTTATCATTGACAATGCTTTGAGGAATGATAGATAAGGATGAACGAACTAAGGTGGGGTTTAGGTGGAGCATAAGGGGGGTTTAGCCTCTTAAATTCTCAAAATGTGCTCAGATTTGCAGATTTAATGATCTGAGCTGCTACTTTTACTGTAGGTAAACTCATTTGTTTCTAAATAGTTCCCATGAAATTTTAGGGGAACATCTTAAGACAACACTGGTACCTACATGATGCTGATACAGAGCTACTGACCTAGTTTAACAAGATTTTGAAGATACACTGTACATTTGAGAGCCAGTACAACAACATATTTACAGTGGCTTCCTCCCTCAGGGGCTCACATGATACTGAAGGGACATGTATTATATGAGCAGAGAGAGTTGACACTGCAACGCTAGAACCGCCTGTGGAAATATCTGCGAAAGAGCGGTGAAATGTGTATGCAATCCTACTACTTCACTTTTAGAAAACGAACCATTATGTACAGTATGCAATACAATTGCACAAAACATCACAAATTCATGATCAAAACACAGACATTGCATTTGCAATCCACTTGAAATGACACTCAGATGGAATGAAAGACCTGTGTTTTGAACATTATGATGAGTAATTATGGTTGTTTGTCAAAAACAACAACAAAATGTGTTTAAAATGAATCTGTTTTATCGGTTTATTGTGACCTTACCCGTCCCACAAGGGGAGTAATAATATTTTTCACGTTGTGTTTTGAGCCATATTTAGAATATCATCAGCCCTTTTATGTCCTTAACAATATTATACAGAGCGCCACCTTTATAATCTCTGTGCGCATGATATTATAACCACATAGCAGTCAGAGGTGTAAAGATAAAAGCATGCTTTCTGTTAAAGAGATGCCACACATCCCTATGAAGAGTTATACTGGAACTCATTTAAAGAGGTAGTTCACCTAAAAAGTCTAATTCCTTTATCATTTATTTAGTCTCATGTGTTCGTTCCAAACCTGTATGGCTTTCATCTGTGTAAGTTAGCATGCAAAAGCCTCATTTAATAGGTTCGTATGGCTCAAATTTTGGTCTCATCTTCACAAATTTATTGTTTGACTTCACAAGATTTCATTGTAGCTGATTTTATTGCACTTTTATCTCCTTTTTGAAGCTTTAGCCTTTATTCTTTGTAGAAGCATGAAAAACAATGACTACATTGCTTTAAAATCCTCCTTTTGTGTTCCACAGGAGAAAAAAGTCCTGATTTGGAATGACGTGAGGGTGAGTAAATGATTAGATTGATTTCGTTTTTGGGTGAACTGTCCCTTTAAGGCTTGTCAACATGTACAAAACCCAGGCCACTGTTCAAAGACCTTCATACCTGTTTGATGGTGTCTTGTGTATCCACGGCTTCTGGCAGAGGTGTCTGTGAGGAGAAAAACAGAGAGAGAAAGAGTTTAATGATAAGAATTGAGACTGCAGCGGAGTTCCTGCTCTAGCACTGTGGTGGCCTATAGGCAAGAACCAATCACTAAATCTAGTTTTATAGTATTATAGAGATTATACAATCAATCTGCGACTGGCAAAATGCCATTCTGTCCATGTACAGCATCAAAAGTATTAAAACACGTTACAACAAAGGCACCGAGGGCTAAAGAATGACAGAAGACATGCCAGACTAATGCTGCTGTGTGTGGTATTTGACACTAGCACTGCACATGATCTTTGCCACCTGCCTCCCTCTCAGCAAAGACTAATGAACTGCCATAATGTAATTAAGATTCACAAAGAATTTAAGAGGAATGTTTGGCTCTGTAAGCTTGCGTGGTGGAGGAGGGACAGAGACTGTCGTTAAGACTAAGAGGTTTATCCTTTGTTTTTGCAATACAGTTTGCTTGACTGATTGATTTTTTTTTAAATCTCACAATTCACCTTTTTCTTTCCCAATTCAGTATATCTTACAATTCTGATATTTTTCTTGCAGTTCTAAGAAAAAAAGTCAAATTTTCCAAGGTGTTAACTTGCATTGTGAGTTTATTCTGAGCAGAAAATTGTGAGATATAAACTCGCCTTTTTTCCTCAGAATAAATTTTTTTTATCTCACAATTTTGAGCTTATGAAATGATCAGAATTGTGAAAAAAAGTCAGAATTGTCAGAAAAAAAAGTCGCAATTACCATTTACATTTTTTAAAATTCCATGGCAGAAATGGGCTTCCATGGGTCTGGCCATTATTTTACAGAAGACAGTGATAAATATGACTAATTTCCTTTTGTGAAAATATTAAACATAATTAAAGTAAATTAAATGTTATATTAAATATTTGCAAGTAAAATAAATATTTAATACATAAAAAAAATATTTAAAAAAAATAAATAAAACAATTTTACATTATTATTATTAATATTAAACTAAATACTTTCAGTGATGTCAATGTCCAGCTCAGTTGAGTTTAAATAGTATCTGTGCAATCAAGTCGACGATTCAGCAGAACTGTGTACTATCTGTGAAATAATAAATTACTTTGAGACATATTGAAAAAGTTTATCTGCATAAACAATGACATAATGTGGCTATATAAGACTAACAATGACAGAATTTTCATTTTTGAGAGACCTGTTCCTTTAATGCTCATTATGTTGTTGAAAATTGAAATAGCACTAGAAGAGAGGAAGCATTCGAGTGATTTCAAGCAGCTGAACTGGACCACATACTTGAGAATGACCAGGTTGTAAGCATGCATATCTGATTGGATTCCTGCTCAAGAGGCACTCAAGGTTTTGGTTCTCTGTTCAGCCATTAACTAACAACAATTGCCAGCAGCTCTGATCTCTGTCTGCAATCAAGGGCCAAGAAAGGCTTCTCTCTCCTCTACATCATAAAAATCAGAGCATCAATGAGATTGAAGACAGAATAATGGATGAACTTTGTTTAAATATTTATTGGTAAGCTGTTAACCACCGGTGATTTAGATGCCCAAATGCTTTTTAGTTGTTGATTCTGCAATGAACTGACCTATAGAGGAATCTCTGGGTAATATCAAATATAATTCATCATATTGTATTTCATGGTACAGGTGGACACCCAGGCCCACACAGAATCTGTGCTAAAAAATTGGAATTCCTGTCACTCACAATGCAATACACAGCTTCCATGTAAGTTTATTAAATATGTTGGTCAAGAAATAACATTTAAAAAAAATAAAGTTTCCAAAAGGGTTTTTCGAAGTGCCATAGAAATACCATTTTGGATATCCAAAGTAACCTTTCAGCGAACAGTTCTTAAAAGACTTTGTTTCATAATTTTTTTAGTGTAAAGAAATTTTAAAGAACCCTTTTCCACTATATAGCACCTTTTTTTGCAATGGATTCCATGGAACTTAAAGATTCTTCATGGAACTATAGATTCTAATAAAGGACCTTTATTTTTAAGAGTGTATCAAATATTTTAAAATGTATTAAAACATTTTATCATGCTTAAATCCATTCTGCATACTGTCACCCAAAAGTGCAATTGCATTTGTTCAGTATTTTATAGAAAAATAATCTCTAGTCAATATATTTAACTCTGGTCATGCCCATGCCATATTTGAAAAGAACCTAATCATATCAGTTAATGACCAATGCAATTACATAAAAAATTTTTTTTTTAAATGAATCACTCTGAACCAGACTGAGCCAGTTTGACCAATTCTTTGATTCAAGAACCTGAATCAATTCACAGATTCAGATTGAGAGCAAGTTTTACTCTGCTCAAAAGCAGTATTGCAGTAGCAGATTGGATATTTTAGAGAAGAAAATGTACATTAGAAATTTTCATCACTTTTAATATTTAGATTTTTTAATTTAAACTTTTTCAGGCCTAGAGAACAAAATTTCCTTACATTTCCAGATTTTCCATGACACATTTTTTAGCCTTATTTGAGTTAGAGGGAGAATGTATGATACATTTGTTTTGAAATGTTACTGCAAGCTTCAGGCTTTCTCTCGGGAGCTGTACTTGCATGACTAGAAAATAGCTGCAGGGGAGCGTTACCATGATGACCAAGTGAACCAACTTGAATCATTAAGGACTTGAGCTACCAGTTGAGATGCTGCCAGCATAGTTTTCTAACCTTCTGACAAAGAGAAACTCTCCACAGTCTTCATCCGCCCGAATTCCACCTGATTCCCCTCTGCCCATATGGCGGAGAGTCCATAACTCCGTTTTTATGAGGCATTGCCAGACTCTGTTCCCATGGCAGGTGTTACTCAGCATCAGCTGACTAATGCTGTGAAGCTGCTATTTATGGGCTTGCATCTGTATCTTTATAGGTTTTGTGAAAAGTAATCTTTCGTTTTTAACCTGTGTGAACAGTCCCTTACAATTACAATGGCTCATGGTTATTATAATAATACTTAAGGCTTTCTCCTTTCTCGCTCCTTTCAGGATAGTTCTGTCATAATTTAGTCACTCTAATGTCGTTCATAACCTAACCTGGCATTCTGTTAAATGACACCACTATGAGCTAAACATCTCCTTTTGTGTTCCACAGAAGAAAGCAAGTCATATGGGTTTGCAACAACATGCGGGTGAGTAAATCCTGACAGAATTTTACTATTCCTATAACCGCTACACCACACCACACCACCTAGGGAGTTAATGCAGCAGACGCCCACAGAAAACGCATCAGCCAGTCAACAGTGCAAACATTTAAGACTAATGTATCGTTTCTCGCGAAGATCTTATAAGGATAAGCTGATAGGTTTTTTTTTTCTCCGCATTTTCCCTGCTTGGTTTCCTTTCAACAGCAGCAGCAATGGACAGTAAAAATGGTTGGATGATTCTCAGGTGATCAGGTTCACTGCATCCTCATGCCTGATTAGACTTAGTATAAGGTTGGCCAGCATGGAGATCTATCCACCCTGTGGCTCTGTTGACTGAGTAAACTGTGTAGAGTGAAACTACAGCTGGCTGGATCACATGTTCCAGTACAAGAAGGGAAATTACACAGGGATATTGACTGTAAGTCTGATGAAGGTGCTGGGAAGTATTTGAAATCACATGATTGTGAAATGCTATTGACGGGTGTCTTTATTCCTTTACTTTATCGAGTGTCCAAATTAGTCATATAATTGCTGATAGATAGATAGATAGATAGATAGATAGATAGATAGATAGATAGATAGATAGATAGATAGATAGATAGATAGATAGACGCTGTTAAATTGGATTTACATTATTCGGTATTTAGTAAGATGTAGTTCTAAATGTAAATGGCTGCATCTCAAGCTTCATGGCAGTAAAAAAAAATTATAAATAAATTAAAGATGACTTGCCATTTATCTTAGAAACTCTTATGGGAATCCCACTTATGTGGTGGACACAAATGTATTACAGTGTGACTAATGCAGGACAGTCTTAAAGAAATAGTTCAACCAAAAATGAAAATTTGATTTGTTTTGTACTGCCTATGCTTATAAACTGTGCTTGATCTGTGCAGACATCTCTCCCGATTCAGACAAGATGCCCTTTTCACTGGATAAACCAGCATTATGAATAGAGGACTCATATTTTAGCTGGAAGCAATGGTTTGTTTGAAGTAAAAAAAAAAAGTTTTAATTATGGATTTTTTTGGAGTTGTGTGGATTATTGTGATGTTTTTATCAGCTGTTTGGACTCTCATTTTGACGGCACCCATTCACTGTAGAGGATTCACTGGTGAGCAAGTGATATAATGCTAAATTTCTCAAAATCCGTGCTGATGAAGAAACAAACTCATTTACATCTTGGATGGCCTGAGGGTGAGTAAACTTTAAGCAAACTTTCATGTAAACTATTTCCTTTAAGACAAATGTCTCAGTCTAAAGTTTGGTTTTGTACCGTATTCTGACAAAATATACATAATTTCAGGTGGAACAAACCTCCAGAAAATACAGATTACAGATAACAGATTAAAGTCAACCCTGATAAGAGTGCAGACAGTGGCACATTGACACAACACATGGATATCTTTTTAACTAGGGCTCTTTATCTCTTTCTCAGGGGGTCCTCAGGCAACATGAGGTGTTTCATCCTGAGACACAACCCTTATTGCTGGAATGTAGAAGAGGAAAAGGGGGTCCAGTATCTTGATATATAAAAGACCACCACTCCATAACATCTAATAGTCAGCAGTGCAGAAACTACATGTCCTAATTGGACAAACTGTTTACCTTGTGTATTTGAAGACATGGATAAGTATGGGAGTAAACGTGCAGGTTAATCAATGTTCAGTGTAATATGAAGGTGGGAAAGCACCATTAAGGTTTACACAGTGTCCATATGTTTCCTCATCCCGTGTTTATGAGTATTTTGTTTTCTTTTTGATATTGATATGAAAGTCACATGACCAAAACCAACCGAAAAGAATGTAATCTAAAGAGATCAGTCAGTCTCTTTTTGAATT